GCAAGATGCCTTGAGAAATTTGATGACAGCGGTCCAGTTTGATCATCGGACACATTGCCTATCGCTTCTTCGAGTTTTTGTTCATTAATTTTATTACTATTCCATCCATTAAATTTGAGCTTCCTTTTGCCACAGGGCGCCTTTCTTTGTTCAGAGATATCAAAAAATATGTAGTTATGATCACTTAAGGATTCCAAGTCACTAACTTCCCATCTTAGTATGTTAGGTCTCATTTTACAAGTAGTTATGGTGAGGTCTAGTATTGAACCATAATTTTTACTTTGGAAAGTAGGCTTATCCCCTTGGTTGACAACACAGAGATCATTGCTTGCCATCCATTCTACCATTGACCTGCCTCGATTGTCTGTGACGTTCATTCCCCATTGCGGTGACTTGACATTAAAATCACCGGCAACAATGGCGTTTTCTCTTGTGCTCTTAATTTGTTGTCCTATGTGCCAAAGAATATCATCCAGGTCATTAATGTCATTGTTTCCCGAAGAGTAACAGCTGTAGAATGTTAGGTTTATTGAGGCAACATATGCGTAACCGCGGCCCTGGCTTTGTTTATGTATTGGTATATTGCTGTCAATAATTGTTATTGCGGTATCCCCTCTTTCATCGCATATCCAGTCTGCTCGGTTTTTAATGGCAGTTCGATTTGGCTCGCTTACAATCAAAATTGCCGCACCTATATCTTTTGCTGTCACCAAAGCAATATCATGCGCTGGTCGGCTTCTATTAGTGTTTATTTGTAGAATTCTCATGTTGGCTTAAAGATATATGCCCTTTATCATTACCCTGTTTAGATGTCTTGATTGGACATGATGCTTGGTCAGTTTGGTTGCCTTCTTTTTTACAGTTAATGCAATATGGAGGATACGTGCATTCGGATATCTTATGTCCATCTTTGGTACATCGCATACACAGTTTTTCGCGATTAGGTCCAGTGCATTGTTTTTTTACATGCCCAGACTCCCAGCATCTGAAACATCGCACTTCCTTCTCTCTTTCGATGATCCTACAGCTTGACCATCCAATTTATATTGTTCTCATTTCTATTAGCTTGCTAGCATCTAGCATCATCATCGTTAATAATTATCGTCGCATTTCGTTTATTTCCAAAAGCATGACGAATTGCCCTGATTTTAAATTCCTTTGTTGCACCTATTGCATCTCTTATAGCTTCCCTTATTTCTTCTTCGTCAACCAGTTCATCAGTATATTTGATATGCAGAATCGTCTTTTTGGTGAGTAGAGACGCGACCACACCTGGCACCTTTTCTCGTAGCTCCCTTTTTAAAATCTCGGCTCTGTCGGTTCCATTTCCAATTATTGTAAGCAGTAGCCCATCATTTTTTGTTCTTTTTAAATGTTTTATGTCCACTCCTAATTCATTGGGATTAACAGCTGCTTTTATAGTCTTCAGTAAATCGGCATATGATTTATCTTTCATTTGTACCAAGATATTTTCGCCAGTTATTTTTTTTGTAGGTAATTTCGCGCTGCTCTCTGTTTCTGCACTCTGGTCTTTAGAACTTTTGATTCTTGTTCGTTTGTTAATATTTCTAAATTGGGTTTATAAATTGCAAGATCTGTTGAAGTTCCAATACACAAAAATTTAAGCATTTTTATGATTCTCGGTCCATTCATTTCTGGTATCGCTAATTTAGTACGGTGGTTATCAATCATGTGGCACTTTATTATTTTTAAGGCATTAAAAACGCAGTGGTCATCTTCATTACATTCAAAATGTTTATCTTCCATGATTGGACAATATATCCACCAATCTATGTTTGAAATATTACCATCATTGTCTGGAAATCCTATTGAGTGATACATCATCGTTACTTCGCCACTTTTTTTTTATTGGTTTCTAAGCCCAGTTTTCCCACCATAATCGCTTATAGTTTTGTTTATATCCATGTAAGGAGAATCTAGGTTCTCATTACATGGAAGTATTATGTCCCAAGTATCCGAAACTTCTCCAATAGGCTTTCTAATAACCGAGGTTGTTTCTCCAAATACTTATTCCCAATCCTTATCAGATACTGATTGAAAGTTGTGGTATGTCTCTTCTTTCTTTAGTTTAATTTTTCTATTTTCAGTATCTTGGAGTCTCACACATTCTCTGCATGTCACAGGGATTTGAAGGTTGCATTGGTTTTCAACGCTGGTGTTACATTGATTGAATTTTTCTTCCAGATCTTTTAGTCGTGTTTCAAGTTCCTTATTTTTAACTTGTAATGTAGATAATTCTTTTCTTGCATCTATAGAAGATTCTAGCCATTCTTGCATTTCACTTCCTTTCAGCTTTTCCGAGTATAAACTAAGTTTACCACTAATCATTTTATCTAAATTAAAATGAATATAAATAAACGTGGATGAAATCTCAATTGGTTTATTTTCTTGTGTTCATAATAGAGTTTGCGACGAAGAAGCTACAGAGAGTTCGCTTAAGTTGCCGCTTAAACGTAAACTTGAGCGGATATCTCTTTATACCGGAGTTAGCGTATCGGCTAAAAATAATTCACACATAAGATAAAAAAGGCTGGAAACTAACCCCGATAAAATGTTATCCAGCCCTGGAAAGGAACGACCACGTGAGACTGCTATTGAAAAGCTCGACAACTTTGATTTCTAAGTGGTCAGGAATTTTATAAATAGATTTTATCTCAAATTCAAAGTCGTCCCCACAATTAGAAAGCTTTTGCAAAAATTGCAGGAAGAATCGAATTTTCCTTTTGGCAGGGAAACGCTTAAGGGGTTATTAAAATCAAATGGATTTTTTTGGCGTAAAGGTCAAAATAACAGATAAATATTAATGGAGCGGCCCATTATATTGCAGAGAGAGATATAAATATATACGCGAAATTCGAAAATATCTATTTGGATGAAACATGGGACAATGACCTAACCTTTAAAAATTGCTGGCGGAGCGATACCGTATCTGGTGTAATAGGCAATTTTGGCTCTACTGGTGAGTAAAATTATGTTTTGTTTGCGTTTCCAAAGTTAACTATTTTCAAGACTTTTTTTGCTGGAAATAGTTGTATCTAAAATTATGTATTATAGAAAAAAATATAGTTAGTACAGATATATAAATAAATATACTTCAAGACTCAGTCTTGGTCATCTGCTGTCATCTGCTGTCATCTGCTAACATGGTTAGCGAAACGTGCGTCCAGTGTTTCCATCGAGTTGATGACTCGCCAAATTCTGGGCTTGGACAAGACGGTGCCTTTCCCTTGCGCCTCGGTAGAAAGATGTGATAGCCGTCCCTTTTGAGATGTTTTCACATTCCCTGCAACCAGTGCCGGCCCTTGCCAATTTTTAAGAGATATTCCACCAACCAATGCGCCGATTCTTGAGGCACACAATCTATGAGGATCATGACCACCCGAAAGTGTATCACCGCAAAGTGCAGCTGACCCATATTTTGTAGATCCTTGTGTTAGCAATTCGGTCGCCAATACTTCGTCCAGTATCGTCTCTTCTTGAGCCGTTTACTGGTCGGTGGTCAGTGCAACCTCTGGTAATCCTTTGGCAGTACCGCCATTTTCACTTATTATCCATTAGTCGCAAAGCTGGTGATACGTCCCTGCTTGCTTCTCGGTGTTGGCTTTCCATCCTGGCTTTTTTCTCTCCTTGCCGGAGTAGAGATGAGAGTTCCTCGCTCCTTCTGGGTCGACAAGACCGGGTAGCTTGTGACACTTATATTCTATAGGTAGGCTCCCCACCCTTGCTGGACGAGGTGGTAGCTTGTGTGCCACTTGTGGAGGATGATCTCGCGCAAGTGCCAGCCGCCTCTCCTGAACTTCCCTTTGAGTTTGGTCACTTGGAACTTTCATTGTTAAAAATGTTCCCAGTGTCGCAAGGGGGCCCAGAATCGCGAGAGGCTTTCATTGTTAATGTTCCCACAGCTTCACCGGTCGGTGGTGTTTTTAATACTAGATCTCATAGTGTTCCCACGAGTCGCTAGGGATAATCGATCCATTCCTACGGAGCCCCGCCCCGCATGTAGAAATAAGGGGTAAATACAATGGGGTGCTCGCTGGTGCCCCAATGTTGAGACCAGTACAGACAGTAGTCTTCTATCTAGCCACGCATCCCTTTGACCTGGTCCTGCTATCGTAGGATTTAGATTTTTGGTGAGGTTGTCTCCTCTTGATACGGGCGGCTAAGCCAATACCCCCCACACCCTCTACCCATGAGACATGACCACAACCTACTGTCTGGTATGGCGGACAGGATAGCCCCGTCTGGCACCGTTATATGTCTTAGTGAAATTCCCTGGCTACAGCCAGGGACAAGACAGTGAGCTAGCTTCTTAGACCGAGCCATAGTTCTAGAGGAGATTTCCCCTAGCACCCGACTAGGAGCTTTCCCACCAACGACAAGGTCTTGCATCTCCTATAGGGGAATGGCGTTAAGGTTGCTTGCTTGTGCTCTCTACCCGTGCGGTTTTAACTGTACGGTTAAAATCGAAAAACATGACCGAAGTGTATGGGGGCCTTTAGACAGATGTTGCCTCCACTTTGACGATAACGGTATGATATACTGTAGAACGCGTATTACTTGAACGCACGTACATATTTCAAAGAATGTTTTGTGTCTGTGGTCGCCTTTAGTTTATAAAAAGATATAAATAGTTTTCTGACTAAACATAAGTATTTCAGACAATATTCATTTCTATACTAGAATTACCACTATCGCTGTTTAATTAAACCTTTATTAACTAAAAAAGTACCTACATTTATTAGATACAAATCCTATAATTTATTTATATACATGCCATTTAAACAAAATTAGAGACTCATTAATTATTTATTAGCAGATCATATAAAGAAGTAGGTACAGTTAAAAAAATAACTGATTGTATTTCGTAATTATTTTTACTGCAACCTTGGTCTTTCAAAAAATATAAACTTAAATTTACCATAGATAATAACTTCCGTTAATAAATCATAAGTAAATAAAATAAACTGGTTATATCTCACCTATCCAAGATATTTCTTCCTCGGTAATAAAAATACTCTCTGATGTATCGTTCCTTTGTGACAGACGCGGTATGAGAATTGTCGGCATGCCCAAACTCATTCCATATACTAACAGAAGAATGTTTTTAACCATAACAGCCACTATTTGGGGAAAACTTCTTCTTAGACTTGAAATTTCGTTTTTCTTAATATTCTCTGAACAAACCATTTTTTCTGATATGCAAATTTCACTTAGTTACGTGTATTTTAAATTTCTAAGAAATTTTCTAAAATTAATTAACTCGTTTTATTTATCTATCGATATAGGTAACTTAACACTTCCTACCGAAGAGAAAAATTTTATATTAAACTTGTATTTGCAATACATAAAAAATGCACACAATAACTGATGTAGCGTCGGTATTGGTAAAACCTGGGTATTGTTAATAAGTATACAACTGAGATAACGTGTATAAAATAGTTTTGTTATCCTTCCCTCTCTTACTAGCATATTTTGCCTTGGTTCTACTTACTCATTCACTGGACATGATTAAATGGTCGGTCAACCTATTGAAGCAAACCTGTTTACTCGTCATTTACCAGTTTCTGTGATTATGTTGTGGACAAACTTTAGGTATACGATTTCCTTCTTCTTGAATTGTTTTTAAATAATAATTTCTACTAATCTTCTGGATTTAAATAATAATTTCTACTAATCTTCTGGATCTTTTTTTTAAGAAAATACAGGAAAGGCAGTTTTTTTAAATATTTTAGTGATAACACACGTCCCTGAAGAATCTGTCGATACTTTTTTAGCATTAAAATATGTAGAACTTATTCGAATCACTAAAAGCACTTTTAGAAGAAAATTTCAATAAATAAAATAAAATATTTTATCCCTCTGTATCTACGCAACAAAGTAGAATAGGACATAATGTTGATATAAAATAAATCTTATTTTTACGTGAGGAATCTTTCCATGAGAGATGGCACGTGATTTTTGAAACACCCTGAGTAATTATCTATCAAACTTTAATTAAAATTTTATAAAATATAAAGAAAGTGTTTGATGGATAATTTATAGAAATCTGTACACTTTATTAAAATAAATAAAACTATACAGGGATTCGGGGTGTACAGGGATTCGGGGTGTACAGAAATAAGGTGGAAGCATTTTACACATAAGTTACGCCCAATGAGGCTTTCTGCGAAGAAAAAAGTTAAAAATTTTACATTTTTCTTGACATTTTCTGGAAAAAGTTGAAAAACTTTTGAGTGCCACTGTTCATTCTCGAGAAATTCGTTTACGGTGCATATAGGTATATCCCAGAAAATGCAATGTTGCCACCTCCTACATTACCCACATTCTGTATGTTTATAAATTCACAGTAATTTTAAGTTTCTACACAAAAAATACGAAAATTAATTTTATTCATAGTATAGATTACTATAAATATAGCAAAAAGTATTTAAAACATTGCGCGGTTTTCTAGAATTAGTATATAACAATCTCTACTAATATAAATTAAATTAGTTTTTGTATTTTTTTTGTGTAGAAACTTAAAATTATGTACCGGGTGGCTAACTAAGAATGGACGCCGCCCGGCTGTATCTAAGAAACTGCTTATCGTATAACTTTGAGAAAAAAAAAAGTAAATCGGCCAAGAGAAATGGCTGGAAATTATTTTCAAGTTCGAAAAATGTCCGCTGTGGGGCGTATTTATAAAGGTCAATCAGAAAACGGAATTTATCTAAAAAAAAATGCAGGTGAACATGTATTTTAAATATTTTCATTGTAATCAACTTAAAATTTGTGATTTTTTTTGTTATAACGCATTTTCTCTATCTCGTATAATAAAGTGGTGGGGGAAGTTAGAAATTTATTTCTTTTTAAATAAGGAGAGCTCTAGAGTGGCTGAACAGAATTAAACAAACTAGGACTCGTTTAAAAGAACTTCTTTTTCCTAATAAACTACAGCTTAAACTTCTTCTTAAAAACTTTAGCCGTGGCAGCTAGAGGGCGCTGTTTAACATCATAACAGTTATTACGCTTTTGCATAAACATTTTAAATAGAATGATACCCCTTCTTTTATACAGGGTAACCCAGAAATAAGTGCAAGTATTTTAAGGGGTGGTAGATCTCGATAAAAGAAACATATTTTCTCTTTATCGTTTTTCAAATAAGTCCAAAATAACGGAGTTATTTTACTTTGAAATTTTCCAAAAAATGATTTTTTGCTAAAATTTTGAGAACCACTGGATCTTTTCTGGATTTTCTTTCTTGTAAATTATAAAATAATACCTATGTTGCCATATTATCAAGAAATTATGTTTTTTAACTAAAAACTAAAAAAAATTCTAAAAAGGTTTTCAAAAAATTTTGAATTTTCAAAAAAAAATTTTTCGCGAAAAAAACCTTCATAGACGTGTTTCTGAGGTTGAACTATACTACCAGTTAAAATATTTGAACTTATTTCTGGGACACCTTGTATAGTTAAATAAAGTACGACATTCCCTAAAGGTTAATGCCAAACAGCAACATTCTATCTTCTCTCTAAGAGAAGAAATAGTTACTTCTGAGATACAGCAGGCGTCCATTCTTAGTTGGCCACCCGGTACTGTCAATTTAGTGGCAACATTGTAGTCTCTCCGAGATTGATTCAATGGAAGGCGAACGAATTTCCTGGGAGTGAACAGTGGCACTCAAAAAATAAAATTTTCAACATTCTTTTTTCGCAAAAAAACTCATGGGCGTGTTTCTGGGGTCGAACTATACTACTCCTTAAATATCTGCACTTATTTCTGGGACCCTGTATATTGTTATAGAATAACAATCTTCTTACACTAGGTAACCCTAGTATTCGCAGACTTTAGAAATGATCGAAAAGTTCGCACCATTTTGTTTATTTATTAATTTTTTCTCAAACTGTAATCATGTCATCATTTTTACACAAAATCGCCTATATTATTTAGTTTAAGTTCTTTAGTTATTAAGTTAAGGAGATTTGATATCTTTGTAAATATTTTGTACTAATATTTCTATTATATCTTCTGTAAGAGTGGTCTTAAAATATAGTACCATCTAATTTTCACATCCTTTTTACATATAAACACACAAAAAATAAGCTAATAAATAAACAAACTAATGCAACAGAGAAATCGAGATAACGCTAGAAGCGATTTAGCACGTACGATATTGACTAGTGGAAATCAACATTATTTGAGGCCAATACCACCCAATAGCGTCAAAAGTTGAAGGGAACTACCACAAGCTACAATACCATCTCTCGCTATTTAAAAATAAAAACCTTCAGTGCAGTCTTCGACGCGCGAAAGCGAACAATTCCATTCATGGAACATTATATTCAAATTATTTTATTAGGTTAGCGACATCGGATGGCTTACATTTTAAACAATAATGTGGTGATTATATTATAGTGTTACAAGAAATAGTTTGTGTGCAGGTGTAGGATTCTTAATAATTTTGGAGAAAGCTGATAATTACAACTTAATTATGACAAACGAAAGGTAAGCTACTAATTTGATGAACCAATCTATTTGTTAAAATAATGACAATATTTTCTTATACTAATGGAATTTTATTGCTATTAAGTAATACTGTTGAATGCATATTTTATGTATGCTACCTTGATTGAATTTTTATTTCAATCGCCTTTCGCCTTCAAGTCTTTGCTAACATAAAATCACATACCTACAGCTACTTCATAGGTTAATCATTTAAAGACGGAGATTATAAATAAATAAAAATATATTTAGCAGTTTATTTTTTAGTAGCACCAATATTTGTTCTTTAATTCAATTATACGGTTCATAACAAAGTGTGTGGTAATAAATTATTCGTAAAAAAACGCTTTTTCCAAATATGCTAATAAGCCACTCTCGTTCCATTTGAAAAAATTGAGATATGATTAAATAGATAAAATTAATGCTTTTAAGTAGCCATGGCACTCTAGATTGAAATATAAAATACAATTTTTTATTAAGTGCGAATGTCAAAAGTTGACATTCGCGCTTAAAAAATTGTATTTTACTGTACACTCTCTATTCAGAATGTCATTTTCTATCGAATAAAGTAAAAAAATACCGTGGGTGCCATTTAAAAATCAAAAATTGTAGTCATTTCCGGTGAAACAGGAAGTGACAGAAAACAATTGAATACCGTCAATTAATCCTAATTTAAGTCATATACTACCATACCAAATCTCGATTTTTTATCTGAAAAAATAAAAAAAAGTTATAGGGGTGAGCCATTTTTGAGACGCACCCGGTATAGTATCGAAAATTTCTTGATATTTTTTTTACAAAATGAAATGTAAAGATAATAACAAAGAATAAATTGTAACACAATCATAGAGGGTAATATAAATAATCATAGGTATACGCGCTTGCAAGGGCGCTCCCTATAAATTATAATGGATAGGAATGATGTATCGCATAACTTAATAGTTCTGAGAGCTGTGGCCAATTAATAGATTGATTAAAAAAAGTTCGATAAACTCGATTATATTAATTCATAATTAAATTTTAATATGATTGGTAAACATATACAAGGTGCTACAAATTCGAGGTACGAGCATTGGTATCTCGGTAACTCTAATAGATACGAAGATGGTTAAATTAGGGGAAAGTTGCGCCTTGGAATGTTCACCAAAATGCCATCAAAAAAGTTTTAAAAATTTCAAGGATTGCTGAGTTTTTTGGAAAAAACGGATTTTTTTGAAACTCAATTTTATTTTTTCCTGTCGTTAGTTTTTAGAAAATCAAAAAACTAATTGCACATTCTCATAGCCACTTTCTTAGGGCTATCTGGTAGTATTTTTAGATTTTCAAATTAGCTGATAATTTGTGAGATACAGAGGCCGACTTCTATTCAGAGTGTCATTTTCTATCGAATAAAGTAACAAAATACCGAGGGTGCCATTTAAATATCAAAATTTGTAGTAATTTCCCATGAAACAGGAAATGATCGAAAACAATTGAATACGTCAATCAATCCTAATTTATATCATATACTAACATACCAAATCTCGATTTTTTGAAGTGTGAGTCACTTTTGAAAAAAATGCCTACTATAGCACACGCATCACGTTTGTGCGATAATAATAATTGTCTCAGAAATGTCATAATCATAATGCAACATGTTTGAAACTTTTGTCATTACTGCTTTTGAACTTTATGTTGGTTTAATCTTGACTACACTTATTAAATTAAAATCTGTTAATTTATAAGAAATTATTGAGTTCTTAAGTTGAATAAATAACGAAATTTTGTATGTAGCTTTGAGGTCAGATTTTGGGGTTCTAAACTGATTAAAAGTTGATTCATCCGAATACGTCCAATTTCAGTTCTGGCTGCGAAAATTGATACAAATTTGGCTTGTATTTGATGCAATAAAACGGTATCATTTTGTAAAGACTTTTTCGTGACCAAAACTGTCACTGATATTTTTCCTTATATTTTCTGATATATTGCTAATAGGTGCTTTTAAACATCTTTTCTTCATTTTTTATGGGAATATATAAATTTGCTGAATAATCATAAAAAATGAAATACCATGGATTTTGGAAAGGATTTGTATATAATACGTTCTTAATGCCTGTACTTATACGCCAACTAAAAGAGTCTTATGCCAAATTTCAAGTCAATCGTTCATATAATTTTTGAGATCTCCTAATCACTCCCCAACTAGCAAATATAGTTCCCAGTCCTTTCTAAAATGTCACTGCCCCTAAAGTATGATTCCTAGACCCACTCTGCCATTTAAAATGTTACTCTATAAGGAATAGTCACTTTGAAGTATATTTCGAGAGTGACCTGTTAGTCCCTGGCTACCACAAAAGTGGAAAATAAACACCCCGATTGCAAGTCGCAAACATGTAATGTAAAGAAGTGGCTGGAACTACCCGAATCTTCGAATATGACACCATAAAAGACCTAAAACTTTATAGTAACTTTTCAAAGTAGGGGTTACCAACAAGTGCTACCATAATGCCTCCATTAAGTTTTTGTTACTTTATAGTAACAATTTAAGTTACGGGGTAGTCGCGGCCACGACACTTAGTTACTTCTAATTTATAGTAGCATTGAAAGTAGCAAAATGGTTACTGCTACCTTCCTAGGTCATTATAAAGTAGCCGTCGCTCATACATTGCCACTAAAAAGTCACGGTGGTCAAAAACGGCTACTTTATAGTGACCGTAACTTAATATACCCTAATAAATGTAATTGCCTCAGATTGCATCGTGTGCTGCTCTGTTTTAGTGTTTTCTTTTACTTGCTTTTAAGCATTATTAAAATTTTTTAAATACCAAAGGTGAATAAAAAGAAATTTAGATATTCTAGTACTTTCTACCAAAGAATTAAACAAAAGAAATCACTGCGAGCCGATGCCATCAACATCAGAAACAAAAACAACATCTTTCTATAATCCTACTGATGAACATCATAAATCAGGTAGTGACTGAGACATTTTTGAAGCTGTTTCTGTAGAAGTGTTAGTTCATCTGAAACTGAATCTCAGAAGAGAACTAATTTGAGAACCAACAACAATATAAAACAAGAGCTAACAGAGTGGGCGTTAAAATACTCTATACCTCATGTAGCTCTGAATAATATAGAAACACTAATAATAGAAAATGCACAATAAGTAAAAATAACTTCAAAGAACAAGGCGGAACGTTATAGTGGCACCAATGGAATGTATAGTCGCCACCACCGCGATCGGTGTAGCAACGCTCCAATTAAGTGGCAATTTGGTGGCGCAGGGAACTTTCTTGTAAAAATCACTTTATGGTTCCAAAGAATCGTTGACCATGTAGTTCCAAAAAAGTTATTGTTTCTATAAAGTCGCCTTTGGATAGCTACAATTGTCACTTTATCAATCTGAAGATTTTAATGGTCCAAACAGGTAGGGTTGGCCTAATATGTTATTGTTCCCGGTACTTTGTGGAAGCATATGGAACTATATAAGTATTTTTCGGATTAAACGGCCATATTTTTTTCATGAATTTTTAGAAGAACAGCCAAGTGGCTCAAACATTATGCGTTTTTAAGCTAAATATACCTAGATTAAAGCTTTTTTCCTTAGTTATTCTGTTATTTCTGACGGTGGACTATTATTTTAAACCGGTTTCAAGCAAATTATTATTATTTTGTAATTACAAGCATGAGTTTCTATTGCAAATAATATAATAATTTGAAATATTTTGAGAGGCGCTCGAAAATTTTGTTATATAAACCCACTATGTTATTCAGTAAAGTTGATTGCGTTCTGGAATTTTCCTAAAAAAGGCGTTAAAATCGCACGGTAAATAACGAAAAAATAATAATGGCTTCCATAATTATTTTCCATCATGACATTTATTTTTATGAAATGTGAAATTGCATGAAGAGGTCGCTGCGAATAAAGTTCAACTGTTTAACGAAAGTTCCACATGTCGGTGGATAACACTTGGCTGCCACGAACCCGCGACTAGGCAGCTTCGTAACGGATAAGTCGCATTCACCAATAGGCTACTTTATAGTAATACATCATAGTAACTCTTTTAGTGGCAAAAACTACCCAAGACACTACCCGGCTACTCAAAATCTTTCCCGATTTTGGTCGCAATTACTTAGCAGCTACGGATATACGACGTAGCCGCCGATGGTCACCGCCCACTTTGTAGCGGCTTTGATAGTAGCAGTTACGTATCTGCCACTATAAATGTTAGTTGGGTCTGGTATTCCCTTTTTATACATACAGGATGCGCCTCAAAAGTGACTAAAAACCCCTATAACTTTTTTATTTTTTCATATAAAAAACGAGATTAGGACATACTAACATGTATATGACATAAATTAGGATTAATTGACCTATTCAATTGTTTTCGGTCACTTCCTTTCTCACCGGAAATGACTACAACTTTTGATTTTTAAATGGTACCCTGGTTATTGTTATACCTTATTCAATAGCAAATGACACTCTAAAAAGAATGACATATCATATGTCAATTACTGACATTTTTGAAATACCAAGTGTATACTATCAAATTATTCGAAAAAAATACTTTTTCCAAATATTCTAAGGTGGCGTTCCATTTGAAAAAAATAGATATGATTAAAAAATTTTTTGCCATCTTTTAACCGGCCAGAACAAGGCACTGAAAATATTAGACGATCTATTTTTCCGAGGCTCCTTGATTAAAAATTATTGTTTTTAACACAGCCATGGCACTCTAGATTGAAATTTAAAATACGATTAAAGCGAGAATATTAAAAGTTGACATATGATATGTCATTCTATTCAGAGTGTCATTTTCTATCGAATAAAGTAACAAAAAAATACCGAGGGTGCCATTTAATAACCAAAAGTTATAGATAGTAATTTCCGGTAAAACAGTAAGTTACCGAAAACAATCGAATACGTCAATCAATCCTAATTTATATCATACCAGCTGAGTCTCAAAAGTGGCTCACCTCTATAATTTTTTTATTTTTTTTAGATAAAATACCGAGATTTGGTATGTTAGTATATGACATCAATTAGGACTGATTGACGTATTCAATTTTATTGTTTTTGGTCATTTCCTGTTTCACCGGAAATTACTACAAATTTTGACTTTTAAATTGTACCCTCGGCATATTTTTACTTTATTCGGTAGAAAATAACACTCTGAACAGAATGACATATCATATGTCAACTTTTGGCATTTTCGCTTAAAAGTAAATTGTATTTTAAATTTCAATCTAGAGTGCCATGGCTGTGTGAAAAATACTAACTTTTTATCAAAGAGCCTTGGAAAAATAGATTTGACCGTCTGATGTTTTTTGTATCTTCTCCTGGCCGGTTAAAAGATGCCCAAATTGTATTTTTAATCATATCTCAATTTTTTCAAATGGAACAAGGATGGCTCATTAGCATAATTGGAAAAAGCGTTTTTTTACCAATAATTTGGTACCACACACTTGGTATTTCGAGTCAAATTGCGTCGTTATGAACCGCATGTTACTATTGAAATAAACCATATGCGAAAATGTCAAAAGTTGACATTCTATTCATCAAAAGTTGTCCTTCTATTCAGAGTGTCATATTCTATCGGATAAAGTAAAAAAAAATACCGAGGGTGTCATTTAAAAATCAAAAGTTGTAGTCATTTCTGGTGAAACAGGAAGTGACCAAAAACAATTGAATAGGTGAATCAATCATAATTTATGTCGTATACTAACATACCAAATCTAGTTATAGTGGTAAGCCACTTTTGAGACGCACCTGATATTATACTAACATACCAAATCTCGTTTTTTATCTGAAAAAATGAAAAAGTTATAGGGGTGAGCAACTTTTGAGACGCGCCCGGTATATGTAGATAGATATGTTAATTTATGTCCTACATATGTTTTGTTCTTTAACTTGCGATATCTTCGTCTCGAATGCAATATAATTATTGATCCATTATAAAAGTTCCTAGTTGTCTGCTACTTTACACAATATGCCTATTGTAGCAAATGCCTTAGATAAGCTATCTTTTACAAAAAATATTTAGATCTTTAAACTTGTTGCTACTGTTGTTGGAGGTACGAATAAAAAATAAATATTTTTTTATAAAGCACATATATTTTACATTATCTCAATAACTTTGTGAAAAGTTTATTTATGGAGAAAAGCCAGGGTATTCCCACTGAAACAGAAATCACTGAAGAACAAACTAAAATATATACCGGGTGCGTCTGAAAAGTGGCTCATCCCTATAATATTTTTATTTTTTCAGACAAAAAAAACCGAAATTTGGTATGTTAGTATACAGGGTGGTCCGAACTGTATTCCGGAAACTTCGGCAGCATATTCTGCAGATAAATTATGGTGATAAAAATTAAATGCTTAGTTTCGGAGATACAGGGTGTAGAAGTTTCATTTTTATTTTGATTTTTTTCAAATAATTTTTCAAATTTTCCTATCAATATTTGGATGAAAATTGGTGCCCGGGTGTTTTCTGACATGAGAAATTTGATTTTGATGTCAGTATGACTCCTACTTGTAGAGGGCGCTACCTACATGTGTTTTAACTGTTTTGAAGAGCAATAACTTTTCGTCCATACCTGTATAAAATTATGGAGTGAAAAATATACATTTACGACGTTTTTTACGTAAAAGAGGTCTCTTGGTAAAAATGACTAGGAAAAATGGTTCTCGAGATATTTGGAATCAAAATTATCAATACCTGTCATCATTGACATAAATTAAACATGTTGACTAAACAGTTATCACACTGAAATCATAAATTTGAAATGTTTTTGTGTCAAAAGTTCAACAGACACTGTTTTATCATTTTTTCGCAGAAAAATTTATGATTAATTTTAAAAAATAAAAATTTCCCAAATTTATTATTTCAGTCAAATAATTATACCTACTCAACGTGTTTATTTTTTTGTGAATAATGATATGTATTGACTATTTCCATTCTAAATATCTTGAGAACGGTTGCTCGTAGCGATTTTTACCAAGAGATATTGTTTCCGCAAAAAATCACGGAAATGTACATTTTTTCACTCAGTAGTTTTATACAGGTACAGATGAAAAGTTATAACTCTTCAAACCAGTTTAAACGCATGTAGGTGGCGCTCCCTGAGGAGTCATATTGACATCAAAATCAAATTTCTCATGTCAAAAACTCACAGACATCAATTTTCTTCCAAATATTGACGTTACTTCAGAAATTATATGGAAAAAATCGAAATAAAAATGAAACTTCTACACCCTGTATCTCCAAAACTAAGTATTTTAGGACATACATTTATACGAACTTTTTTATTTATGTTCATCTGCAGAATATGCTGTCGAAGTTTCCGGAATACAGTTCGGACCACGATGTATAAAAAAAATTGGGATTAATTGACGTACCTATTCAATTGTTTTTGGCCACTTCTTGTTTAAACAAAATCTTGTCTTGACCATTTCTTGTTGATTTCTTGTCTTGATTCAAGAAATCTTGAAATTTCTTGATATCTTGACAAAAGAGGAACCCCCGTTTAAAATTCGTTTATTAAAGGGGAACCCCCTGTTTAAAAGTCGCGGTGAGATTGGTTAATATAATGTTTTTGCTTTATGCGTAAAATCGATGGTCAGGCATCTAATGTTCAATAAATTCAAAAACTTTGGGCTCATTATACTACAGTAGCCAAAATCATCAGATTTACATAATTTTGTTAATTATTATTATTATCTAACATTAAAATGAGTGATTGTGATGGTTCGTTGAGCAGCAAATCTCAGCCATTCGTAATTGTGAATCTGGTTCAGAATACCTACCACCTCAGACACCTGGACGTAGAAGTTTAATTAGTGACTTTGACAGTAGTGACGGTGATAATACTACTACTGACATAAACCGTCAAAACAACAATGATAAAAGCTACTCTACTTCAGTAGCGTACATTAAAATGTATTTTTTTTTTATTTTAAAAGTTTTACGTTAATTCAAAAAGTCTGTATGCCACTGAAGTAGAGCCGCTTTGCAAAGTTTTTTATTCTAATATCGTAGGCCATAATATATCCAAAAAATTAAAAAAAAAAAACATTTAAAAATTAAAAAATTATTAGGTATAAAAAAAGATTCCAATTTAATTTGGCCCACAGTATGCCAACTTTGGACATCCGACTTTGGACGTACTTATGTCAACTTTGGACATTGGACATCCGACAAAGTACCGCTTCGTACAAATATTTTTTGCTTAATAATCTTTTTATCCATCAATTAATGGATATTCATATATTATACAAATACCTAAGTAAATCAGTATTTCTTTTTTATTTTATATTTTCAAGAGATTTCAAGATTTTCTTTATTTCTTGTCAAGAAATCTTGATCTTGAGAAGTAATTTCTTGTCTTGCCTTGAAAACTAAAAATAATTTCTAAAACAAGATCAAGAAGTTGTCAAGAAAATGACGACCCCTAGTTGACGACGTGGTGGGTTCTTCTTTAGATGCGGGAACTAGAGGCGGGCGAAGATTGAACGAGTCGTTCATTTGAACGAGTATTAAAAATGAACCGTGAGATTTGATTGACTGCTTAGAATACGGTTCGTTCGATTGAATCGTAGCACGGATTCATAACATTCTAACGATGAGCCGTAAAAAAGAGTCGTAATAATTGAATCGGATTACAATGCGATTGTTCGTTCAAAGAGTCGTGAGAATTGATTCATTGGTTACGATACGGTGCATTCAATTGAATCGTGGCCAGCACGGATCCTTAAGATTTGAACGATGAGCCGTAAAAAGGAGTCGTGAGAATTGAATCGGATCACAATGCGATCGTTCGTTTCTACGGCGCGGCGTGGCGGTTATACATATAGGCTTGGCACCATATAGGTTGAGGCACCAATATTTAAGGTGGGTTCATACAGCCAAATAAAATAAAATAAGAATAAAATAAAATAAGAAATAAGGAATTCTTATTTGTGTGCGTTCATACAGGCAAATAAAATAAAATACGAAATATATATTTGCTGATGCGCAGTACGATGAGGCTGGATAAAAGTTAACTTTTACGATTGTTTATAGTAATTTTACTATTTATAGTATATTTATTTATTCCTTGCCTACTATATTATACATTTTACTTATGTGAAATTAAAAAATAAATTAAATCCAAACTGAAAATATTTGTAGGTTAGAATTAAGCGTGCGCAAAGCCGTTTTCACATAAAATAAAACAAGAAGTTAAAAGATAAAGACTTTTTATTTTATTTGTTATTTTATTTGGCTGTATGAACGCATGTACGGTATCCCATATAATCAACTTTCTTATTTTATTTTATTTTATTCTTATTTTATTTTATTTGGCTGTATGAACCCACCATTAGACTTGAACAAAAGCCCTAAACAAACATCATGGGCATAAAACATAAAATGCAAACGATAAGAAAGTTATTTACAAAAAAAAAACTTTATTTATACTGTGCTTAGTACGGGAGTATCTGTAAGGTATTTAATTTTCGCGTTAATATTTTTGTTAAAATAATACTACCGACTATAAACCATTAAATGTCGGTCTAAAGTAAATAGTAGATATATATATATGAATTGGATTGATAATTTAATATTACTGGTAAAATAATCAATCCAATTACGTCAAAGCCATACAGCATTGAAAAACAAATGAAAGAATGTATGTATATTTCTTTTCCTGGTCCCTTAAGTAATTGTCCGACTAGATTATCGCCGGTAGTGTTACGATTCTTGTTTTTATGAAACGTAAATTGTGCAGTGGTATGTTCAAACGAACGAATTGTAGGAGTCGATTCAATTTCTCATATTGATTCGATCGTTGTTCGAATGTTGTGGCGACTTGTGTGATTCGATTCACTAAAAAGAATCGTAATGCCCATCACTAGCGGGAACTATATAACAAAATTAATTTTAAAAATATACCTATGTTTTTTAAATTTATTTTAATATGGTGATTTATTTGATAAATCAATGGTCATTGAATACTTTAATATAACATGATTTCGTTTGTTTCAGTAAATCGCCGGAAAATTCCAGTAGAGATGTAACAACATTAAGACGAATATTACCACAAATTATAGCCGTAACAGTTAAAAATAGTTTACTGCTAGCGTATGGAATGACTATTGGATTTCCCACTATTTTAATTCCAAACCTGTCAGGTGGGAATCCGAAAGAAAAAATTGTTTTAGGAACGGAAGCAATCTCTTGGATTGGTAAGCTTAATTAATCAAATGTTAATTTTTATAAAACAAAGAAATGTCTAATTACTTAAATTTTTAGTCTTTTTGAGCTCCATTGAAAGCTCAGATTAAAACCAATATATATATTTTCATATACAGGGTGGCGCCTCTCATACGCCGCGGAGGCTACAAGAAGAACGACATTTGGTATTGAAATGAAGTTTTGTGAGCATATGTAGGTTAATTCAGGGCACTTTATAAAAATATAGAGAGTTCTACAGGGTGTCCCCAAAAAAAGTTACATATCAAAGTTGTCTTTTTTGTAATGGACCACCCTATATATTAATTGATTTTCGGATTCTGGGAGAAAAAGTAAGGCGAGTTTTATTAGAGAAGTATATGACTAAAATGTACGGCTTTTGAGATATTTAATATTTTCTAAAAATATTAAATTAGAATAAAAGCTAGCTAAATTGGAATTTACCCGGTATACTCTAATATGTAGTTAAATTAACTATTGTACTTTAAATCAAATTGAAACTTGATCCAAAAAGTTATACAGGGTGAGACAAAATTAATATTGAACATTGGTCACCTTTAAAAGCATGTTACTCTTTTATTTTAAATGGAACACCCAGTATATTATTCCGATATTGAATGGAGAATACATGTCTCTTCAAAATACTATTAAGGTTAAGGTTGCCTACTCCACAGACAAAGATTTTCCTAGATATTTTCATTTACATGAATTTCATCTGAGTTGATCTTTATTATTTGATAAAATCTAAGTGGCTGTGATATAGCTGACGTTACTTTAACATAGCTGTCTAATTAGTCCAACTTTAACAACTAGTTATCATTTTGTGTCAGTTAAAACAAAAATAAATTCTCAGAAATTCGCCGAAAATGCACACTTATCCTACATCAAAAAGAATTGATATGATTCTATTGGTTCACCAATTAATAGAATACTTAAATGCTCGGTTTTATCTAGTCTGTTTTTTTTATGGGGATATATGTTAAAGACAAGTGTTTACAAAACTCGACCAACTATTGTCGACAACATGGGAGAAATTATTGTAGCTGCTTTTCGAGGCACAATTCCACATACGCCATTTAAAATGAGAAGATCCTTTTGATCTAGTTTTAATTCTGTAATAATTAAAATATATTCTAAACGTGTATCTTTTTTACCGTTGAGTATTTTACTCTAAAATCTTTAATTTTTGGTAAATTAACGAAAGGTATATCACATAGCCACCCCCCTAGATTTTTTCAAATAATAAAGATCTACTGACGCAAAATCATAAAAATTAAAATATCTAGGAAAATCTTTGTCTGAGGGATAGGTAACCAATAATATTTTGAAGATATATAAATTCCCCATTGAATACCGGAAAAACATACTGGGTGTTCCATTTAAAATAAAGGAGTAACTTGCTATTAAAAGTGACTGATGTTCCATATTAATTTTGTCTCACCCTATATAACTTTTCGGGTCAAATTTCAATTTGGTTTAAGATACAATGGTTATTGTAATTAAATATCAGGCTATACAAGGTCAACTAAAATTTAGGTAGCTGTTATCGAAATTTAAAATTTACTCTTCATTTTCACAAAATGTGAAATATGTCAAAATCCTTATATTTTAGGTATATGCTTCTTTAATAAAGCTCACCTTTATTTTTTTCCTAGAATGCGAAAATCAATTAATATATAAGGTGTTCTATTAGAAAAAACACAACTTTGATGTGTAACTTTTTTGGGGGACACCCTGTATAATTCTATATATTTTTATAAAATGCTTTCGGTTAACTTACGTATGCTGGCAAAATTTCACTTCGATATAAACTACCGTTCTCCTTGGAGCTTCTACGGCGTATGAGAGGCACCACCTTGTACAGGGTGAGTCTTAAATAAGTGTAAATGTTTTCAAGGCTAGTAGATCTCGATAAAAGAATTATATTTTCTTATAAAATAACCGAGTTATTTAAGTTTGAAAATTACAAAAAAAAAAGATTTATTCTAGAAAAAAATTGAGAGCCAACGGATTTTGTCTGTATTCGCATAGAATTTTAGTGCCGTAACCGTAACCATAGTGTAAAGCCGTAATAATTATGGTAGTAATATCGTGAATAATAAGAAATTATGCGGTGGACAGGGAGTTGTAAAAAGTTTTCTAAAATATACAGGATAATTTAAAAGAAAATGCACGATTTTCAACATCTTTTTTTTGCGAAAAAACCCTCGTAGACGTGTTCCTGAGGTTGAAATGTACCTCTTCTAAAATATTTGCACTTATTTAAGATTCACCCTGTATATACAGGGTGGTCCGAATTGTATTGGGAAAAATTCGGCAACATATTCTACAGCTAAAAATGAGTAAAGAAGTTCGTATAAATGTATGTCTAAAAATGCGAAATCAGGAAACGCAAATATCTTGAAAACCGTTCACCTTTTCGAACTAAACCAAGAGCACCTGTTTTGATGAATGAACTTACCTTACTGTTTTAGGTAAAATAGTTCTAGCTTACTGTGTTTATAAGGATAAAAGAAATACCACCAATAGTACTCTCTACCCTAATGGCAGTACCCTTTCAGGACTGTTACGGAAATTTTCATTACCGCCAGTTGCTTTGGCATTAAAATGTGTGGAAGAGTACCAAATTTCAAGAAAATCGGTATTCTTAAAAATAAACAAAATACATCATTTTTATTTAACACTCCGAGGGCTGTAACTTCTTCCGGAAGCATTTTAGGGCATATGTTTAGGAACTTTTTGTTTTATTTTTGTCTGTAGCCTTGTTTTTGACGCCCTGTATAATAATTTTTCGTCCGTACCCGTATAAAACTAATGAGAATAGAAAAATATACCCTCATTTTCACTCATTTTTTACGTAAAAAAGATATCTTAGTAAAAATCGCTACTAGCAACCTTTCTCAAAATATTTGAAATGGAAATAGTCAATACGTGTCATTATTGATAAAAAACAAATATGTTGACTAGAAAGTTTTTGCAACAGAAATGGATTTATCATATTTTTTCTAGAGAAAAAATAAGATTAATTTAAAAAATAAATAATAATATTTTTTTCACTCATTAGTTTTATACAGGTACGGGCAAAAATTATTGTTACTCTTCAAAAGAGTTCAAACATATTATTACGTTTTTCGTCGGTTCCGTGTGGACAAAAAGTCTAATTTATTGCACAATTATTTATTTTACACTAAGTAATAAAACAATAATGATAAAACACTTAAAGAACTATTTACAAACTTATTTACAACCATTTATCTAAAACGGATTTATTTGAATTTATTTTAAAAGGCGCGAGCACAATACCGACTCTGATCTTTTTTTTCTCTATTTCTTCTTTGCACAAGCCTCGGTTGATACAGGGTGTTTCAAAAAACATCTGCCATCTCTCGTGGGGATATTCCTCACGTAAAAATAAGATTTATTTTTTATATCAACTTAGGTCGAATTCTGTTTTGTTTCGTAGCTACAGGGTGTTAAAATCTTAATAATCTTTCCATTTATTATAATTTACTTCCAAGTACTTTTAGTGATTCGAATGAAATTTTGAGGTTAGTATAAGTATAACTTACTATAAGTGCTACATATTTTAATGCTAAAAAAGTGTGGATAAATTCATCAGGGACGTGCATATGGGTTATCACTGGAATATTTAAAAAAAACGCGCCACTTTATATTAAAAATAACAAAAATTTACTATGGTTAAACACCGGATATTCCTCGAAGGTTACACAAGAATATTTAGTTTTAATCATTGTCTAATATTATTAATTACAATATAGTAAAACACTATAAAACATCAGTGACTAACTAGCGGTCTACCATTTATCGGCTTATAATCCACGGTATTTTCATAGCCATGTATATAGGAACTTTTTTCATATTTTTTGATGAGGAATCGATGAGTACTTATTTAAAACTTTCGCAAGTTAATAATATTAAAATTTTTGAAAGGTTACTATTAGACCTGGATCCATAGAGTTAAAAATAAACCTGGATCAAGTGTGCATCTCATCAAGGAGGCCGAAATTGACAAAATATCAAGAGACAACTTTTAATCGGCATTAAATTGCTTATATTATTTCGCTAACAAGAGTAATAAGTCAGTGGCGTAAACTTTTTTTTTTAAATATTCTAGTGATAATTTAAAATAAAATAATTCCATATGCACGTCCCTGATAAATTTATCTACATTTTTCTAACATTAAAATCACAGATTATATGTTATCTGTGATTAAAATATGTAGCACTTATAGTAACTTTTACCCTCAAAACTTTATTGAAATCCCTAAAAGAACTTGGAAGAAAATTATAAAAAATCGAAAAAATATTAAGAATTTATTAAGCTACGAAACGAAGCAGAATCGGACCTATGTTGATATGAAAAATAAATCCTATTTTTACGTGAGGAATCTCCCCCCGAGAGATGGCACATGTTTTTTGAAACATCCTGTAGACGAGAGAAACAGAGAGATTGTCTAGATTTTACTGGTATTTTCTTAGCAGCCGTCTCTGTCTTTCTGGCGTTTTCCAATGGTTCTCGAATGGGGGCGGGGAATATTAGTACAAGAGCTGAGTCCGCAACAATATGTGGGAGTCACATTGACATTGAAATCAAATCTAATATAATAAACATAACAAATCTAATAAAAGAAAAAAAAATAAAATAAATACTAACGATTAATAATAATTCGTGATTATTTTTTTTATCGTTACATTACAGGATCTGCCAATTTTTTAGTTGTTCCATTAGGCTGCCTGTTTTCGGGAATCGCTACCCAACCAATAGGTCGCCGGAAAGCTATGCAGATTTTTACGCTTCCTTTTCTAGCTTCGTGGTTACTTTTCCATTTTGCCTCACACTCTTGGGAAGTATTTTTTGCTTTATGTTTGACAGGCTTAACAGGGGGTCTTCTAGAAGCACCGGTAAGCTACCTGAATTTTTTTTATGAAGTACTTGAGATTTTCTTCTTTTTTTTAGACACTAACGTATTTAGCTGAAGTTACTACACCGAATCTACGAGGGGTGTTGGCCTCTACTTCCACAGTCGCTATCATTGCCGGAATTCTGATAGAGTTTTTACTGGGCACTTTTATGGATTGGCGAACGGTAGCTCTGGTAAGCTGTATAGTGCCAATTTTGTCATGTGTGTGCTTGTTTTTTGTTCCGGAAAGTCCATATTGGCTGATTTCTAAAAATAGATTCGAAGAAGCCCAGAAAAGCACTGCTTGGTTAAGGGGATGGTTGGAAATAGAAGAAGTAGAACATGAATTCAAGGAGTTGTGTGAACAGCTGAAGAAAAGTGGCACAAGGTATCAAAAAATATCTAAGAAAGTTAATTAACTTATACAGGGTGTTTCAGAAAATATGTGCCATTGTAAGTTTTAAAGAGTAATAAATTAAGAGAGTTACAAGTTTTAAAGAGTAATAAATTTTCGTCCGTACCTGTATAAAACTACTGACTAAAAAAATATATATTTCCATGACTTTTACGTAAAAAAATGTCTCTTGGTAAAAATCGCTACGACTAACCCGTCTCAAGATATTTAAAATGGAAATAGTCAATACATGTCATTATTGACAAAAAATAAGCACACGTTGAATAGAATTATTTGACTGAAATAATAAATTTTTATTTTTCTAAATTAATCATAAATTATTTTTCTGCGAAAAAATGATGATAAAACAGTTTCTGTTGAACTTTTGGCACAAAAATATTTTAAATTTAGATTTCAGTCTAATAACTATTTAGTCAACATGCTTAATTTGTCAATGATGACAGGTATTGATAATTTCAATTTCAAATATCTCGAGAACCATTACTCGTAGCGATTTTTACCAAGAGACCTTTTTTATGTAAAAAAGTTGTTAATGTATATTTCTTTACTTCAGTAGTTTTATACAGGTATGGACGAAAAGTTATTACTCTTCAAACCGGTTAAAGCAAATGTAGGTGGCGGCCCCTACAAGTAGGAGTCATATTGATATGAAAATCAAATTTCTTATGTCAAAAAACTCCCAGACACCAATTTTCATCCAAATATTGACGTTACTTCTTAAGTTATTTGGAAAAAATCGAAATAAAATGAAACTTCCACACCCTGTATCTCCGAAACTAAACATTTTAGGACATACGTTTATACGAACTTTTTTACTTATTTTAATCTGCATAATATGCTGCCGAAGTTTCCGGAATACAGTTCGGACCACCCTGTATAATTTGGGATTGATTGTACTTTGTTTAATATTTATTTTCAGCCGAAATACGTTCTCTGCTGAAAACAGGGGCTTTATAGAGAAATTAAAAAAAGCAAAACAAAATTTGACCATGTACACTAAGAAACCGTTTCTGTGGCCATTTAGTTTGGTGTCGCTCACGTTTGCCTTGGGCCATTTTTCAGGGATGACCACTCTTCAGACGTATGCAGTTAACATATTTGCCACTTTAAAGGCTCCCATAGATAAGTACTATGCTACAATTATTCTTGGTAAATATATCTTGTTTATTTTTTTTTCTTTTAAGAAAATCCACCTCGTGTTTCTTATTAATATTGATAAAATCGTACATTGATGGGAAAAACCATGATGGATGAACCATGAAATGAGTTGTTTACTTTAACGTAATAAACATTCTCAATAAATTGTTTTCATACAAGCCGTTCAAATAAGAATAGTAATATAAGAAGTATTGAAGAAAGTATGAAACACACAACAGCACAGTACTTCGAACATTATATATACAGGGTGTCCCAGGCTGAGCGTGCATTAGAAGTTTCTAGAGAACCACAATATCTAGAGATTTTTTGTACATCTTTGTTTTGCAACGAGATCTATCGATTAAAAATATTTTCAATATGACGGCACTTCCGGAAATACCGGAAGTTGACAACAACTTTCTTATTTTAAATGACATTCATTTAATTATTACATACTTAAATTCTCTGTAAAATTCTACGAATATTGATGTTAAACACTCTATACCTAACATTAACCGTTTTTGAGAAAAAAAAATATTTAAAATTTTTGGACGAAAAAAACTACCTGTCAAAAAAATTTAGTGATTACCACAGCCACTGTGACATAAAGAGAAGACATGTGGCTATCTATTTCAAAAATTAAATTGTTCAAATGACATATAATAATGACGGTAGCTGTCATGGAATTAAGCGATTAAAAAATTATATTAAATAATTTTTTCAACCCACTTTTTTTATTTCACAATATTTGCTTTTCAATTCGTTTTTCCATTCGTTACTTTTTGACTATAAATGTTCCTATACCTAAAATAAATCGTTTTTAAGTTATTTAAGATTTAATTTGAAAACTTATGTTTTTCTTGATTTTATCTAGTTTTCTTTGATATTACATACATACATACTGCCTTTACTCATAAGAGCTTTTCTGTGACTAAAAAGCCCGATACGTGATGTTATCTGTCTACCGCACTCCAGACATTCAAAAATCTCATTGTTTTGTTGCCTTTTTACTTTTTAGTTGTCGCTGTTAACTGACTTTATAATTCTTTTCCATTCCGTTCTATTGTGTGCTGCTTCTTCCCACTCATTCTGCTTGTTTCCCTTTAAAATTCCCTTTAAGTTTTCGTGGAAAATATTGTCACACCCCATTTTGTGGGTTATGACTAGGAGCATAGCGGAATAAGACAGATGATTCAATTTAATAATTATTTTAATTAATTTAATAATGAAATCGAATAATGAAATAATTATAAAACTAAATATGTACTTACATATTATATTTATGGACGAACATCATCACTGGCTCAGGGGTAGTGTCAGGGTAGTGTAACGTCAATGCCGGAATCTCGACCGCGACCTTATCGAACATCAATTCTCGACTATCGACTGCCCCCCCCAACAGGTGCCATTTTTGTATTTATTGGTTCGTTACGTCGAATCATCGAATCAGCATTGTCTATCGGTGCGATGACCGGTGCGATGACCGCGTTAGTGCTGATTTGGTGATTTTATATATTCGTAGTATTGAAAGGAAATATTTTGGCAATTGCCAATTATGCTTATAACTTTGATTTTTAAAACTTTACTTTTGTTGCGTAAATGCCAATGAACTTTAGTTATTTTATATTTCCTTTCAATCGAATTAATTATTTACGAAATATATTTAGTTATTTTATATATCCAATAATTCCATCCTTGACACTATCCTTGTACCTTTTTAGGTTGACCACCCGGCCTCCTCTTACCGTCCTACAAGCCCACCGTAAAAAGCAGATATTTTGGTATGCGGTTTTCTTGCATTCTGCATACGTGACCAGCCATCTTAAGCAGGACTTTGTAATCATGACTTCAATACTCTCGCAGTTAGCTTTCAAGGACCGATACGTTTGAGACATGATGGAACCATTTATTTTATTCTTAAGAGGTTGTCTAAGGTGTCTCTGTTGCAACTTGTTTTAATGCGTTCATGTGTCAGCGGTACGGCACCCAGGTTTCGCTTCCATAAACATGGTGCGGAGTATTATTGCTAATTACACTGCAAGTTTCGTTTTGTGCTCAAGTCATGATTGTAGAAAACCCTATCTTTTAATTTACAGAATGTTCTTGAGGCGCTGCTAATCCTGTGCTGAATTTCGTGAGTCGATATTGGCCTTTTCCGAAATCAAACTGCCGAGGTAATTGAATTCCACTAAATATTCCAATAGTTCTTCTCCGATTTTATAGCATTGTTGTGATTTTCCGGGGAGTGCACATGCTTTTAGTTTTATCGATGTTCAACTTAAGTACCAAAGCCTCGTATGCCCATGTATATGTGTTCAACATTTCTTTCAATTGCTGTAACGTATTTGCAACTACGAGTAGAGCGCTGTCATCAGCGTATTGATGTTTTGTGATGAATTTTGTTGAACAGACCGCCGCGCTGTCGTATCTGTATCTAATGCCCAAACCTCTCTCCTGAAGTTAGTTTGCTGGCCACTATAATGGAGAAAGCTGCCATGAATATATTATTTGAATAGGAGGCGCTAAAGACACATCCCTGCCTAACGCCTGTGTTTGTTAGGAAGGGATCGCTCAGTGATCCATGATAACACTCTTGATTTGTTGTTGTTATGGAGGCTTTTACACACTGTAAGAAATTTGCTGGGTACTCCGAACTTTTTCATAGTTGCCCAAAGTGCATCTCTGTTCACAGAGCCGAAGGCTTTTGGTAGATCGATGAATGCAACATAAAGTTTAGACTGCTGCTCTTTTACTTTTCCTGTAGTTGGCGGATGGAGAATATGGAATCGACAGTACCGCGGTTGGTGCAAAAACCATAGCAGATCATTTAAAGTCATAAAATATTAAATACTAGACTTTTAACCAGTGCGTGGTGATCAAAATTTTTTAAAATTCAAAATTGTTCGTAATTAAACATCAACCATGTTTACCGCATGTAGGGCTCTCTCCAGTAAGTATAATTTCAGATCTTTGCGAAATGCGGGAAAGAATGAAAGTTGATAAAAAAACAACAAACTGTTGAAAATCTTGAAATTCTCTAATTATAAAAAATGATCATTTTTAATTCTCAATCTACTGAAAAAGTTTTATTTTAGGAGACTACAGTTGCCCGACGCTCTTGTCGGATCCTCTATAATATTGTTACGGATTCCGTGGGTCCACTATTTAACTCACGATAAAATACTTCCAGACTGTCAACTGTCAAAGCGCGGGCCTTATATACCCCTGGCGATGGTTTCTGGAATTTTCTAAAAGATTCTGTAATTCTCTTTTTACTTTCGCGGAATTCATAGGTTCCTCAATACACGTTGGTTATGTAGCAGTAATGCAGTTATGCAACCAGTAATACACCTTGATCTTGACAATATTCTTTTATTAGAGTACAATATACAAAGGTGGATTTTCTGAGTCAGATATACATATATTTTTTAAGTAACTTGATTATTGAAATATATTATTTTTTGCCACAGGTATCGCAGAAGCTCTTGGTTGTATCCTGAGTTCTATGTTAGTGCATTTTGTTGGTAAAAGAAAAATGAATTTCCTTTCACTGTTGGGCACAGGGATTTGCTTTTTTATCGTAGCGACATATGCTCACTTAATTAATGTTAACAGTCTAAAAATTGTTACAAAAGATGAGAATTTAGATGTAGAAGGACAAAGCTGGCTGCCCTTGACGTTTCTGGTAGGAGCTGCATTCTTTACTCATTGTGGTATTAGAATTCTGCCGTGGATGCTTATAGGTATATTTATTTATTTATTAAATGATTTTAGAGCAGGTTTACGCCCAGGAAATAATGGGATTATATACCAGGATAAATGGGATTATACCGGGTGCGTCTCAAGAAGTGGCTCACCCCCTATAACTTTTATTTTTCAGATAGAAAAAAAAACGAAATCTGGTATGTTAGTATAAAACATAAATTAGGGGATTGATTGACGTATTCAATTGTTCTTAGTCACTTCCTGTTTCACCAGAAGCTGACTACAACTTTTGACAACAAAACGACAGCACTCTCGGTATTTTTAGCCAAACCATACCAACCGGTATGGTAGGCTATTAAAACTCAACAAAAAAAATTTTATAATTTTACTCAAAATGAGTTTCATGAGTAATAAATGACCTAAATACAAGAGATTTTCATGGTGTCTGTCTGTCTGTCCGTCTGTAACACGATAACTCAATAACCGCCATACCGATTTTAACCAAATTTGGCACAAAAATACTGTGGCACCCGAGAATCTGGACATTTTGGTGGGGGTGGGGGATTGGTAAGGGGTATGGGAAGGGTTAAACATTTTAAAAATCGTAACTCCAAATTACAGTAGCTAGCGAAACGCCGTTTTCAATTTAAGATTAGGAATAATATTTGATCAAAATCAGTCAAAGTCGCAGTTTTTGAGATATTCCGTGTTTCCGTAGTTCCGTTTTTTGAGAAAATCAGTGTGGAGAACTCCAAACTCCAATCGAACTCGACCCCAGGTGGCGGATAGGGAAATAACCGCGGACCAAAATTGGAAAATTCACTTTTACTGAAACTAAAGAACTGCCTATCAACTTTTTATTAACATATTTTAACATGGGCGGCTATGCGTGCCTCCCGGCATGAAATTTTTAATTTATTCGATAGGAAATATCACTCTGAATACGATAGGCCAACTTTTGATATTTTGCATATGGTTTATTTTAAAATTATAAGATGCGGTTCATAACGAAAATTTGAATCGAAATATCAAGTGTTTGATATTTAAAATACGATTTTTTATTAAGCGAGAATGTCAAAAGTTGACATATGATATGTCATTCTATTCAGAGTGTCACTTTCTTTCGAATAAAGTAAAAAAATACCGAGGGTTCCATTTAAAAATCAAAAGTTGTAGTCATTTCCGGTGACAGAGATAAAGTGACCAAAAACAATTAAGGGGCTTAGAATAAAAGGTGACTTTTTGTTTAAATGGATTTAAGTACAGATTTAGATCCTGCAGATAACAATTTATTTAGTATAGAAACAAATTCAGTAAACATTCTACACTCTACTCTACTTAGTGCCACTGTAGAATTTACTTAATTCCATTTTATACCAAATAAATTGGTACCTAAAGTACATAAATCTGTACTTAGAAAATAGTGACTTGGATCCCCTTTTTTAACCTCCTCAGTTGAATACGTCAATCAATCCTAATTTAGGTCATATACTATCATACCAAGTTTCGTTTTATTAGCTGAAAAAATAAAAAAGTTATAGGGGTGAGACGCGCCCGGTATAAAAATAAAAATAAAAAATTAAGAAATCTGTGTCTGAATTGTGTCTGAATTTTTATAGTCTAAGTAGGATTTCTTTTCTCTGTAATGCAACCTTAAAAAAGACGAGAATATAGGTCGAAACGTTGGCAATTTTAAACTGGTTTCGAGACGGGAAATAAAAGGTTTTTTATATCCTAGTCCTAAACCTGGCTAACGCCATTTGAAGTATAACATAAAGACAGAAATCTACCAAATTTATTTATGTTACGTATTGTTTATGTTATGTGTTTTAAAATCAAAGAAGCCATACATTACCAACGTCTACAGATGCATGTATACATGCAATTACATGCATTTGATACAATGTATTAAAAGAGCCTCTTTTATTTTTCTCTTAGAGGCTATCGCTTCACTCACTATAATTTTTGCGTTGCGTTGTTAAAATCCACTCTGTCTTGTGTCCCACGAATTTTGAAGAGCGTGGATGATTTTGCGTGTAAGCAAAATTAATTTTAAAACTGAAAGTAAAATAAATAAAGACAATGAAAGTCCGAAATTCTTTTAGTTTTAATACCGAATCATTGTAACAAATGTCTATAACTTTATGGCGGATTTCTTTTAGTTTTAAAATTATCTTGCGGCGCACACACAGCAAAATGCTATGTTTAGCTTGACAAAAATCGACATTACAAATATTTTTTTTCGTATACCCTACCTGGCGCCCCCAATATTTAACATGTTACCATAACAACTAAGCATATTTATGCTATTTTAACAATAAAATTTCACTTAAAGGTACTTCAAAATTTTTCTCTTCGTTCAACCTTAATCCGCGGTTGTTTTTTCTATACCGGGTGCATCTTGAAAGTTTTATTTTTTAGATAAAAAAACGAAATTTGGTATGTTAGTATATGACATAAATTAGGATTGATTGACGTATTCAATTGTTTTGGTCACTTCCTGTTTCAACGAAACTATTGATTTTTAATTGGCACTGTCGGTATATTTCTGGTTTATTCGATAGAAAATTACACTTTGAGTAGAATGACATATCATATGTCAACTTTTGACATTTTGCTCAAAAATCGTATTTTAAATTTCAATCCTAGAGTGCCATAGCTGTGTTAAAAACACTAATTTTTTAAACAAGGAGCCTTGGAAAATAGATTTGATCGTCTAATGTTTTCGTGTCTTGTCCTGATCGGTTAAAAATGCCCAAATTATATTTTTAATCATATGCCAATTATTTCAAATGGAACAAGTGGCTCATTTGCATATTTTGAAAAAAATTTTTTACTAATAATTTTAGTAGCACACTTGATATTTCTAGTCAAATTATCGTTATGAACCGTATGTTATAATTTTAAATAATCCATATGCGAAAATGTCAAAAGTTGACACATTATGATATGTCATTCTATTCAGATTTCATGCATTTCTATCGCATAAAAGTAGAAATATACCGAGGTTGACATTTAAAAATCAAAAGTTTATTAATTTCCGGTGAAAGAGGAAGTGATCAAAAAACAATTGAATACGTCAATTAATCCTAATTTTTGTCTTATACTAACATACCAAATCTCGTTTTTCATCTGAAAAAATAGGAAGTGAAGCCAGTTTTGAGACGCACCCGGTATATAAATGATAAGTATAAGTGATCTTTGAAAACATTACTATTTAGTTGCAAGCAATTGCATTATTTTTCTATAAGAATTTAAGAAAAATTTCTTTTCTTTTTCACAATCAATTATTTCGTGCAGAATCAGTATAGGTATGATCAGATACAGTTTTGTCGGCTTCAAAATGAGGATCAGTCAGTGTTTGAGATTTGAGATGCATTCATTTGTCTTGCTTTAATGAGAAATTTCTACGATTCTGCTACCATGTACCATGTATTACTACATATTCAATCCAGAACAATCAAAATCACCAAAAGATTGATATTTTCCCACTACTGGTTAATACATTAATGAGGCAAACTTACAAGCTTTTTTTTTGATAATAAGGATATCGGGATCCTATTTAGCTTCTTGCGAATGAATATTTGTCTCATATAATTTTAGGGCAGATCAGCCATTAACAAATAAAGGGTGTGGGTAGTAGACAAAGTGCAATTTTGACCCACAAGCAGTCTAAAACTGTCAATTTTGCTGGCTCTTGACCCAAAACAGTTTGTTTAGAGAAAATTTATAAAAACAAGAATTATAGAAAGAAGGGTTATTTACAAAAAGTTGATAGCTTTTCAGTTATAAGTAAAATACCACGAACAATTTTTTTTAAATATTTTAGTTGCTGGCGTGGTGCCCCTCACATTCGGCGCCCCGGGCGGTCGCCCGGGTCGCCCTGCCCTTCCGCCGGCCCTGCTGAGCATCTTTTGGTTTGGTTCTTATATCGCGCTTCTCAGGCAAACATTAGAGAATTTCTGAATTCATAAATATTATCTTTTAATACAAAATCAAACACGCCCCTCTTAATAACTTTAATGTTCGAATCTCGACAAATAAGGTCTAAAGTTCACCCTGTATCTAAGAAACTAAGACGGCAACGACGAACTTTTAAGGCATTGTTTTTTTTATCAAAAAGTACCCAGCAATAATTATATTATCTTTATGTTTCTATTGATAAACCGCGAAAATGCAGGATTTTAATAAAATTCGTATTGCAATTAGGTAAAAGTTCACAAACCATTTGATAAGCGAGTAGCAAATAAAAAATATTAACAATTTTCCTCGAAAAAGGTAAGATATTTTTAAAACTTTATCCTAGACAAAACACAATGCCAATTTTTTTCCTTAATATAAAACATAACGACCGCCTTGTACTGTACTTGGTTTTGTCTCAGCCTAAAGCATTTTTAATATGTCTTTCTCCATACCGGCACAACACCGGTTACTAGATCATTAGACCATTAGCGTAACTAGCAATTTATACTGGGGTGGGCCTGGGGTTGAGCCTAGGGGGGGCCTAGGGCTTTTGTTTTGTTAAAAATGAAAAATAATTTAAAAAAACACGTTTTTTGAATAAAATGTTTACAGGAATTTATCAATAAATTTCAAATACCGTAGATTACGTAGATACTTAAATACCTACCCGTAGATTACTTAAATACCTACAAATTTTCTAAAAAAAAATAAAAATTAACACATTTTTTGAACACAACCAAATAATAATAACTAAATAATATTAGAATACGTCATTTTTACTACATCACAAGCAAATATAAATTAATACGTAGCCAAGAGTCCTAAAATTCAAGATTTCTCTCGGGGGTGCCCCGCAGCACCTCTGTAGTTACGCCAATGCGCCCAGCAGAGTCATTTGAAAATTAATTATCATTATGGACAATATATACTAGCTACAGACATGTAGTACAATTAAATAACAAAATAGAAAACAAATTTCTTGCAGTATAGGTATATAATAAAATTATATAAGGATTCTTGCCACTTAACTGCTGATATAGAAATTTAATTCTACGCTGTGTTTGTCATAATGTGGATCAACCTGCTCTCACAACCGGTTTCGGAGCCCTACTCCTCATCATCAGGTGAGCTGGGGCAGATCCACAAAATGACAACCACAGCGCGGAGACAGTTAAATCCGACTTGTCGGAAAGTGTCGGAAAATTTCTATTTTATAATTTGGCTTGCCTGAAAAAAAGCCTTTTACCATCCTTTTACTATGTGGATAATTGTGCCTCGGTGGTATGATGGCCCCTGGGGCGCTATTCTGTACACAGCATAAGATGGGTAACGGTCGAGGAACAGTCCGGAAGTTGTCACATACGTTGGGAGGAGATGTTTAGTAAACTATGTGAGTTACTAGTGAACAAGAGTAGCAACAACACTCAGGCAGAGAACCATAGAAGATCCCAGGACTTAAGGTACTAGATGTGGCAGGAGTGGCCACATCAAACGGGATTGCCGCGTCCAAATGCGATCCCGTTCATCATCCAGAGAACGAAGGCACCAGGAAAACTAAAATCAGTCAATACTAAGGGGCGAGTATTGACTGGGGAGAACAGAGCCCCAGGATTTTTTCCATTAGGAGTTTAGGAAGAACCGCTGACAGTTTGGTGATCGACGGGAAGGTCAATGGTAGGAGAATACGAATGACAGTGGACACTGGTGCTATGGTATCGTTGGTGCGGACTAACTCAGTGCAAGGGTTGAAGCTGATGCCTCTGAGAAGCGTGCCTTCTATCGGTAGTTGGGATAGTTTGAAGTTTGATAATACCGTATTTTAAATTGTGAATTAATTAGCAAAGGTGCCAGAACCGTTAGAGTAATAGTAGTTGCATAAATTGTGTTGTAAATAGTATAAGTTGTGTGTATAGAGTGAGAAAAATAAATTCGTTAAGTATTTTATCGTGAGTTTAAATTAGTGGACCCACGGAATCCGTAACAATACATAATTATACATGGTAACTTAATTGCAACAATCTCTGAATTAAAAGCCTGCAAATAATTGAAATGAAACCGAAAAAAAATTGTGCTTATAAAAATTTTAAGTACTCCAAAATACTGTTACGTCAGCCGTCGTCTCTCAATAAACTATCTTTCTCGCGCTTATAGATACTCATAAGACTTTCTTATCACGCTCATTTAAAATCTTTATTCGCGTCAGGCAAGTATTAAAAACCGTTTTCAAAAATTTATCTGGTAATTAACACATATTTGTTAATATTATCTAATAAACACGCTGTAAAAATTTTAGAATGCCTAAAGTATATTTTTGAGGTATAATAATTAAACATATTTGGGATGGTCGGGTTATTTTTTAAAACCGAAAAAAAAGTCTGGCATGCTTATTTCTAGGTTAAATAGATGCTAAAATTTAAGTATAAATATATTTCAAGTTGCCTAAAGGATAGTTTCTGGATTTATTTTTTTACAAATATAAAGGGTTGCGCAGTAGCAAAATACCTACAAACCCCCTGCCCGGGTGTTCTCCAGTTTATTTTCCTTTTTTATTTCCTTAGTTCTCCAATCAACTTTATTTTTTTTAATTTTAACTTGTCTAAAATATGTTTTCTAAATATGTCGTCAGCTCTTAGACTAACAGTTGTGTCAATACGAACGTGCACTAACGGTCTAATTATTTTCAGGTGAAGTATACTATAGCAAGATCAGAGCCACTGCCAGCGGTTTTTCAGGAGCGATGAGTTATATCTTTGGGTTTCTTGCCAACAAAATATTTTTTTCCATGATATCGGCACTTACTTTGCCAGGCACGTTCTGGCTTTATAGTGCTGTCTGTATGCTAGGACTTCTACTTCTGTATTTCCTATTGCCGGAAACAGAAGGCAAGACATTATACGAAATAACTGAACATTTTGCGGGCCGCAATAAACTTAACAATAAGGTTCATAATTTTGTCAGAGTGAAGACAAATCGCGAGAAACAATTGGATAATGGAGTGGATAACAAAGCTTTCGATGAGGATAGTAGCCACGAAATAAATACTAAGTTTTGAATACGAGTCCGTAGAAATAGAAAAGTAATTTTAATTAAATACCTAGTAATGTACTGTGATAACTATTTCAATTCATATTTTTGTGCATATATTTAAATAGTTTATGCTGCAAAGATGGTAAATAATGTTTTTGTTTTATTTATCCAGACTATTCTTATTTTTATATAATTATTAAAGCATATTCTTATACAGAAATTATTTATATTTAAAATTTTAAGACTAGTAATTAAAAAATATGTTGACAATTTGATTTTAAATAAATACCTATATGTTTAAAATGTTGTTTTAATTCAACGTAATTATGTACAGGGTGGTCGAAATTGGTCTGTTTGCCGAGAAAACATATTTCCTGACTAGATAGAGCAAAACCGACATAGATTTCATGGCTCGATTTGTGAGATACGTTTAATGGCGTAAACCGCCTGTTGATATTTTTACTGCCAACATAGATACAAATCATTTATTAGAATATACCGGGTGCATCTCAAAAGCGGCTCACCCATATAACTTTTTTATTTTTTCAGATAAAAAAAAACAAGATTTAGTATGTTAGTATATGATATAAATTAATATAAATTAGGATTGATTGACCTATTCAATTGTTTTCGGTCACTTCCTGTTTCACCGGAAATGACTACAACTTTTGATTTTTAAATGGCATCCTCGGTATTTTTCACTTTATTCGATAAAAAATGACACTCGGAATAGAATGACATATCATATGTCAACTTTTGACATATTCACTCAAAAACAGAGAGATAGATAGAGTGCCATGGCTGTGTTCAAAGCACTAATTTTTAATCAAGAAGCCTTTTTTAATCAAGGAGCCTTTTTTAATCAAGGACACTTTTTAAACAAAAAACCATATGCGAAAATGTCAAAAGTTGACATATGATATGTCATTCTATTCAGAGTGTCATTTTCTATCGAATAAAGTATGGGCCAAAATTATCCATAACTTTTTTATTTTGCGGAATAATAAAATTCTGTAAAAACGTTCTTAAGGCACTTTTTTAAGCATAATCCAGTGGCGTAGTCAGTTTTTTTCTATGCTTGCTCTTTCTGTCAGAAATAATACAAAATATAATTTTTTAAATAGAAATCATAGTTGACTAGGAACTTAAAAAAATGCTGACGTTTAACCGTTTCCAACGATATAAAGTTATGGGTATCTGTTTCTAAGAATGAGAGATATACTAGGTTTTTTATCTTTATATCGAAGCGGGCTTTGATTTTGTGTTGACGTATTTGCTTAATTATTTTTTATAATAATAATAGCTCCCGTAGATAGCGTTTAACGCCTTGGGAGTAGCAAGGTACAGCTTGCCATACTAGAGCCGTTCGGTATACAAGGAAGATAATGTGGCTAGCACTACGCTTCAACCGCCTATTATTACCTCAGGATTGTGAATCCCAAGTACTCATTTAAGGCTGAGTCGACCTAGGTACCCAAACTATTTTTATTTTAATAAAAATAGTCGGTTGATGAAATGCCGGGTGTGGGAATCGAACCCACACCTTGAGATTGGTAGACGAGAGCCTGTACCTCTACGCCACCGGGCACCTTAATTATTTTTTATCACAATTTAATATTCTATATTATTATTTATCTGCATAATTAAATACTTTCATTCTATTTATATATTATTAGTATTAGTAATTACAACTGAAATCAACACAATAAACAAAGAACAAAACTAAAGAAACGTAATTTTTGAGTTACGAATATGGTTTTCTAAAAAAAATCAAAGATGTTCAAACTGAGCACCTCCTTCTTGAAAACACAATAAACATCATTTGCTCACAGAGTTACAACGATTTATTAGGCAAACTGGTGTATTAAGTCCAAAAGCTTGCCTATAGCCTTCTGCAGTTCTTCTCTCGTCCCAATGGTTCTTCCTTATATATAATGTCTTTTAATTTCCCCCATAAAAAAGTCGAAAGGAGTTAAATCACAGAACCTAGTAGGCCAAGATATGGGCCCCTTGTCCCAACCTAATTCTCTCTAAATTCTCCATTTAATAGTTCAGTTGTAACCCTGACGTTTTAATTGTAATTGGTAATACCCTTGTATATGAATTTTTAGTAATACTAATATAGAATGTTGATTTACATTTTTAAAAGTTTTTAATTATGCAGATAAATAATAATATAGAATATTAAATTGTGATTTAAATCAATTGATTTAACTCATGCCAACCCTGAGTAGGAGCAGGGGTGGATGGGAGAAGTGGAAACCGGCCCGGGAAAAACAGGCAACCGGCCCAAATCCATAAAAACAAAATGACCATAACGAAGAAACATATTTTATATATTATAAGGAGGATGTTTTTCGCTCGTACGAAAAAGCTCTTTTGCCTCCGTTTTTTTTAATTAAATTGTCTTAATCAAAATTTTCGTAAAGACCAATATTGGGTCGGACATATGAATTTTTACTACAAAATGGCTCAGTTTTCCAGGGTTCTACTGCTTTATTTCCATTATCGATAACGGTAATTTGATCTTGAATAGGCTACGATTTTGAGTCACGATTTTGAGAAACTTTAAGACTTCTTGATTCATTCAGTTCAGCTGACCCAATCCTCTGTGAAATACATTACTTTTAGCTTTTCGGGTATATACTTTCTTTTTCTTACACATTGTAGAAAGAAATTCTCCTCGTTTTTAACTGAATGAACCGCATTATCTAGGTTATTATACATACATATAGTTCTTATCAGGAAACTTTTCCTCTATACTTTTCTACATTTGGCATCTTGTATGATAATGCCATGACTCAAATGAAAAAAAAACTAGGCAATACCTAGCCAGTGGATATAAATGTGTTCTGATGTAATGCTATGTTACAGTCCATAATAAGAACATTTGGATTTTCGAGACATATTAATATTTTATTATCTAATCTAGTTTAAACCTTATTTTTTAACTCTTCTCTGCTTTGGCCTCCATTTGTCAATCTATGCTACCGTATTCTTAGTATACATTTAGATCGAGACTATTTAAATTTACCTAATGCTATTCATTCTTTTTTCTGCTGCCAGTCAGTCATATTTATTAGTTATTAATAAAAGAATAGTGGGTAAAACTATACAGGGTGAGTCTTAAATAAGTGCAAATATTTTCAGGGGTGGTATATTTCGACCCCACGGACACGTCTATGAGGTTTTTTTTGCAAAAAAAGATGTTAAAAATCGAGCATTTTCTCAAAATACGATTTGGGCATCTTTTAACCGGCCAGGATAAGACACTTAAAACATTAGACGATCAAACCTATTTTTCCAAGGCTCCTTAACTAAAAATTAGTGTTTTTAACACAGCCATGGCACACTAGATTGAAATTAAAAAAAAAAACAATTTGTTTAATACAATTTTCAAATACAATCTTCAAATACAATTTTTGTTGAGCGAATATGTCAAAAGTTGACATATGACATGTCGTTAGATTCAAAGTGTCATTTTCTATCGAATAAAGCAGAAATATACCGAGGGTGCCATTTAAAAATCAAAAGTTGTAGTCATTTCCCGTGAAACACGAAGTGACCGAAAACAATTGAATACGTCAATCAATCCTAATTTATGTCATATACTAACATACCAAATCTCGTTTTTTTATCTGAAAAATAAAAAAGTTTTTGGGGTGCAATAATAAAAGTTATAGCATTTTTTTGGCATTATAAATTTCACCAAATTAATATTTTTAACGAGGGAGGTTTTCTTTATTAATATTTTTTTAAATAATTTAATAATATTTGAACTATTTTATTCTGTTACACTTTAAAAAATTGTACCAGCTAAGAGTGAATTTATACCAAAAAAACAACAAACATGCAAATTCCTTCTGCAAATTTGTGGTTCTTTTTATATTTTTTTCTAATCTAAGGATGTATAGTGACAAGAATATTTTCTGGTAGTATTCAATTTATCTTGGCCAGTTAAAAGTTGATATTGAAGTGTAAAGAATATATTTCAACATGGGAAAGAAGAAAAATAAGAAAAATAAGACACCAGGTAATTAAGTTTGCAAGGCTGAGTTTGATTATTAATTTTAATTTAACTTTTTTTTATAGAACCTACAGGAAGAACAAGCCCAGAACACACTGGAAGGTTACTTATGACTGAATTGGGGTATGATATTATGAAAAAATATCAAGAAAACCTGTCACCATCGCAGAGAAAAGTACAACTCTTATTTAAAGAATACCGGCTCGATTCATATCGTAGAGGTTATTTCCTTGATCAAACAAAACAAGATTTTATATTGTGGAGTATAAGGCAAGTAAAAACTTTTTTTTTATTTAATTTATTCCCCCGACTAAACACTTCTTTAATGACATGCTAATATTTAAGGAAGAGTGATTCTTGGACCTATACTAAGAAAAAAAAACTTCACACGAATATATGTCCTAAACATTTTAACTTTTCAGATACAGAGTGGCAAATATTCTTCTTTTTTTCAAAATATCTCTGATGTTGTATTTGATACACGTTTTCCATGCATCAAAATGCTTATTTTGATATAGAAAAAAAATGTTTTAGTTCTTAATTTCCTTTCAGCCGATGCAGAAATCATTTCCACACAACAGTTACCGAATCAGATTTTCAGCGATTTGATTCTGAAGTAAATTGACTTTTTTTTGAGCAAAAACTATGCGTCGCGTCGGACGAAAAAAAATCAAGAGATAAGAAATGTTATAAAACCCGTATGGACCGCACTGGTTGAAATAAATAAAATTCTTTGTGCACTAAAAAAGGTATTTTGATGCATAGAAGACGTCTATTAAGTTTCATAAACGTATCTATGTACAGGGTTGTTCACTACATACGACACGGAGTATTGTAGCTACACGATTAGATTTTTACAAATTGTAAGTTTGGGTACGTTGAAGGACTATTAGAGCTACAATTCAAAAATATTTTTACAAGATACAGAGTGTCCCAAATAAATAAAAAATATCAAAGTTGTATTTTTTTAAATGGAAAACCCTGTATATTATTACATTTTTAGTTTCTACGATTAAAATAAAGGCAAATTTGATTAAAGTTTATTACACTTAAACCTTACCGTTTTTGAAATATTTTCAATTTTGTGAAATTGCAGTAAACATTTTAAGGCTTCATTTCTCCAAGGGTATAAGATTTTTAATACTAAATATTTATTGAAGATTATTTATTGATCAGTTGTTGTATTGCAATAATAAAAATAATACTACCTCATACAGAGTGTCTAAAATTTTATTTTAAATAATTACTAGCTTTAAAGGGCAATAACTTATTTAATTTAAATAGAACGCCCTGTATATTTTAAGAGAATCAGATGCATAATTTAATTGTCTATCAAATTGTATTATACCACTTTTTACATATCCTTTCAAGTTTTCGTAGAAAATGCATTTTCTTATAATTTAGACCTCATTTATCGATATACCCATGGAATATTGACATTTTAGATTGTTTTTAAAGCAACAAATGTACAAAATATACAGGCTAGTAATATTATTGTTTTTAGCATAATGATAATATTACTAGCCCATTTGTATGCAAAAAGAAAACTATTTAAATTTTTATAAAAGAATATAACATTAATTAAATATACCACCCCAAGGGCGTAGATAAGGGGGGGGGGGTAGAGGGGGTAATTACCCCCCTTCCAGAGCGGCTTAAAAAATTAATAAAGTTTCTATTTTGTTAGGTAAACTAAAAAAATATTAAGATTTGTCTTTTCTGTGTTTTTTTAATACTGTTTATATTGGTATAAACAATTTAAATTTTATTAAATAATCACCATGTTATCTATTTGCTATAAATTATTTACCAAAATTTTAGCTACTCTGGATTTTTAGTAGTTTATATCTACAAAAAAATCAAGCTAGTTCGAATTACTTCGAGTTTTACCAAAAAAAATGTTGCCTACTGAGTCACCCCTTTACAAAATCTCAATCAAACACCGACGGCGACACGCATGTGTCCTATTTTTTTTAATTAAAATCTAGCGCGTATCACTTCTTTCTCTGACACTGTCTAATACTGTTTTAGACGGCGCCGAGTAGCGACAGAAACCGTCGGCTCTTTTGATGTGGTGGGACCAAATTTTCTTTCTCTTTTGACGTGTTTGACAGATAGACTACGTATTTAACCGCTCAACTTATGAAGTGGTCCTATAAACATGGTATACACTGCTCACAATTTGAAGTGGAATTAATTATAAAGTTGTATACATATCTTTTTTGTTTTGTTATATCCTTATTTCTAAATGTGAATGTATAAAATATCTTACTGCTAATAAATAATTAAAAAAACGATTCGTTGCCTGAGGTATACTTGAAATAAAGTATATAGAGATATTTGATAAATGGCAACCGTGGCAACTTCGCTTCTTCGTATGACAGATAACCTACTGATTTCGCGCAGCCGCAAAGAAAATTGAAAACGGGACTGTCGCTACTTGTCGGTTTAGGTACTCTGGCGATACTGTATTGAATGTTATCTGAAACCCACAGAATATACTAACGAAAAAGAAGCCCAAGTTCCTTGTAATAAATCGGTTCCATTTTCGTAACGCCATCTCTCGACGAAGCTGACATTTACAGGTTAGCCAAAGGGGTGCGGGGCCGGGGGGAATTGTAAAATACACTTTTTTATTTTAATTATTTTTATTCGCTATTTGCAATTTTATTTTTAAAACATATTATCTGAAACAATCACATAATATGTCTTAAAAATAAAATTACAAACGGAAACAAAAGGAATTAAATAATCTGAAAATCTACAAAGTTTATTAATAAAAAAGTTAGGCTATGCAAATTGATATATTAAGTATAACCTCTTTGGTATAACATTGTTAAACAAACATTAACAAATCATAACATATCAGATCATAGAACTAAAAAAAGTACTATTACATAAAAACAGGTGATACAATACTTCAAAATGAATTTTAACATAATATCAAAACCGAAAAATCAAACTGCAAACACAACCACTTATCACTGTTATCACTGCAAACACAACCACTGGACTCACCCAAGTCTACAAGACAGGCGGGGAGCGGCGGGAGGAATTTTGATACGGGCGAAGAGTGGGTCAACTGATATATTTTATATTCTTTAAACTGTGCTATGATGTTATAGCGTAAATGTATTAAAATTTTGGGTAAAAATAGAAAAAATTGGAATAAATCGTAAACTATTAAAAATAGGTATGACATACTTAATAAAAGTTGAAGAGTTTTGTAAAATATATCAGAAAAAATGATAATATATAGGATGTAGCATTCAAAAAATTTGAGATTTTTTAATTTTAAATAGTTGAAATTCATAAATATATTTTGAACACCCTGTAGCATTTAACTAAAATATCTTTACATATACCTTTTTTTCATCTAAGTATATAAAACTCTCCTCCCAAATTTTGGTTCTCCAACTTCAGAAACAATGGCACCAATGACAATTTTTTACCACACTGCAATTTAATACTTGTTTGAACAAATTTAAGTATTACAAAAACTATTAATTTTAGGTATATAACATTATATATAAAAAAGATATAGAATTTTACGCAAAATCTAAAAATAAAATAAAAAATAGGGTATTGCATTTAAAATAATATATGTTATATTCGCCACACTTTTTTGAAGCACCCTGTATACTCTATAATAATTTTAAAATGTGTATCTTAACCACCCCTATAACTTTTATATTTAATATTTTTTTGTAAGCCTCGAAACAAATGAGATAATCGACTTTAATCTATCGTTGGCTCACCCTGTACAATACAGCAAGATTTGAAAAGCACTCGGCAATTGGAATTCGTAAACAGGCGCGTTTAGGATTACCGCGTGTTTTGATTGCTATGGTTTGGTTTGTTGGTTCGCGCGTTATTGATGTCTAAATTACAATATCTACTAGGTTAAGTTCATACCTACAGAAGAAAAGTGTTTAAGAATGTAAAGCAGAAACATGTTTTCATGTAACACTGATTTCAGTTATTACTACAGTTAACGCAACTTTATGAAAATGACGTATTTCCGCAGAAAATGTTCTGTTTGTTTATGTTTAGAAAAGAGTTTAGAATATAAAGCAGAAACATGTTTTTATGTAACTGATTTCAGTGATTCTAAAGTCGGAAAAAAGAGAATGATGCATTTTCGCGAAAAATTTATACCATTTGGTGTTTGGGGAGGCTTCTATATAATATCTATATTTAATCTTATATAGAGGGTGGCACCTATCATACGATGCGGAGGCTCCAAGGAGAACGGGAGTTTTTATGTCGAAATGAAATTTTGAGGCCATATGTAGGTTAATTGAAAGCATTTTATAGAAATATTTAGAGTTCTACAGGGTGTCTCCCAAAAAAGTTATGCATAAAAGTTGTGTCTTTTGTAATGGGACACCCTATATAGGTATATATGATTTGATTTTCGGATTTTGGAAAAAAATAAAGGTAAGTTTGATATAAGTATATATGCCTAAATTGTAGGATTTTGACATATTTCACATTATGTGAAAATGTAGAATAAACTTTAAATTCCAATAACAGCTATCTATATTGTAATTTGCCCTGTATAACCTGATATTTAATGGCAATAACCATTGTATGTTAAACCAACTTAAAACTTGTTCTGAAGAGTTATACAGACAAAATTAATATTGAACGTTGGCCACTTTTAAAAGTAATTTACTCCTTTATTTTAAATGAAACGCCCTGTATATTAAACCGGTATTCAATGGAGAATTCATATATCTATAAAAATACTTAAAGTTGCCTACCCCTCAAACAAAGATTTTGCTAGATATTTTCATTTATATGATTTTGCCTCAGTAGATCTTTATTAGGGCTCAAACGAACTGACGACCAACGAACGCAGCGACCATGCAGCACTTGAGTCAGTGTTATTAGGAAACGCAGCTGCAACCAGTAATAACATTGAATCAAGTTCTGGTCGATGCGACCTGGTCGTCAGTGCGTTTGAGCCCTTATTTGATCAAGGTGGAACAATCTAGGTGGCTGTGACATACATTTTGATAATTTAACAAACATTAAACGTAAACGATGTAAAGTAAAATAATCAAAGGTACTAAAAAGATACACGTTTAAAACATATTTCACTTATTACAGAATTAAAACTAGATAAAAAAGCGAATAATTATGACACAAAAATTAGCTAGATGAAATAAAATGCCCAATATCTTACCTGTCCTCTTCACTACATAAAATTATTCTCTTTTCAAATAACATTTTCATCTTAAAAGGCATATTATGTAAAGTTTTACTTCGAAAAGCAGTAACAATTTCTCTCATGTTGTCGACAATAATTGTTCGAGTGTTGTAAACACTGTCTTTAACATACCCCAATAAAAAAAAGTCAAGACTAGATAAATTAGGAACATTTAAGTACCTATTCTATTAAATAGTGAATACACACTGCAGTCATCAACTAATAAAATCATATCAATTCTCTCTGATGTAGGAACAGTTTCCATTTTTGACCAATTTCTGAGATTTTTTTTAACTGACTTAAAATGATAACTAGTCCTTAAAGTTGAACTAATTTCACAGCTATGTTGAAGTAACATCAAACGTATCACAGCCACCTAGATTTTATCAAATAATAAGGATCTACTGACACTAAATCATAAAAATGAAAATATCTAGGAAAATCTTTGTGTGATGGGTAGGTACTGTCTCACTTTTTGGGCCAAGTTTTGATTTAAAGTACAATATTTATTTTACCACATATTGAGCTATACTGAGTAAATTTGAATTTAGGTAGCTTTTATTGAAATTTGAAAATTATTTTTCATTTTTAGAAAATGTTAAATATGCCTAAAACCTCACCTTTATTTTTCTCCTAGAATCAGAAACTCAATTAATATATATACCGGGTGCGTCTCAAAATTGGCTCACTCCTATAACTTTTTTATTTTTTCAGATAAAAAAAAGAGATTTGGTATGTTAGTATATGACATAATTTAGGATTAATTAACGTATCCAATAATTGTTTTTGGTCACTTGTTTCACCGGAATTACAACTTTTGATTTTTAAATAGCACCCTCGATATATTTCTACTTTATTGGATAGAGAATGACACTCTGAATAGAATGACATATCATATGTTAACTTTTGTCATTTTCGCATATGGCTTATTTGAAATTGTAACATGCGGTTCATAACGACAAATTGACTCGAAATACCAAGTGTGTGGTACCAAATTATTCGTAAAAAAAATGCTTTTTCCAAATATGCTAATAAGCCAGTTGAGCCACCCTTGTTCCATTTGAAAAAATTGAGAAATGATTAAAAAAACGATTTGAGCATCTTTTAACCGGCCAGGACAAGACACGAAAAACATTAGACGATCAAACCTATTTTTCCAAAACTCCTTGATTAAAAATTAGTGTTTTTAACACATTAACACATTTAAAATACGATTTTTTTTAAAGCGAAAATGTCAAAAGTTGACATATGGTATGTCATTCTACTCAGAGTGTCTTTTTCTATGGAATAAAGTAGAAATATACCAAAGGTGCCATTTAAAAATCAAAAGTTGTAGTGATTTCCGGTGAAACAGGAAGTGGCTAAGAACAACTGAATACGTTAATCAATCCTAATTTATGTCATATACTAACACACCAAATCTCGTTTTTTTTTATCTGAAAAAATAAAAAAGTTATAGGGGGTGAGGCACTTTCGAGACGCACCCGGTATAGGGGTTCCATTACAAAAAAAAACAACTTTGATGCGTAACTTTTTTGGGGACACCCTATAGAACTCTCTATATTTTTAAAAAATGTTCTAAATTAACATGCATCTTGCCTAAAATTAATTGCATTATCTTGCAGTATAGGTATATAAATAATAAAATTATATAAGGATTCTTGCCACTTAACTGCTGATATAGAAATTTAATTCTACGCTGTGTTTGTCATAATGTGGATCAACTTTCTCTCACTACCGGTTTCGGAGCCCTACTCCATCATCAGGTGAGCTTGGGCAGCTCCACAAAGTGACAACCACAGCGCAGAGTAGTTAATTCCGACTTGTCGGAAAGTATCGGTTAGATATTAAGTCCCGAACGGGAGATAGCGGCCTGCGTGCAATGGTAGTACTTTCGTACCACCGAGGCGCAACTAAACGATAGTAAAAGGATGGTAAAAGACTCTTTTTTTCTCCAAATTATAAAATAGAAAACAAATTTCTTGCAGCATAGGTATATAAATAATAAAATTATATAAGGATTGTTGCCACTTAACTGTTGATATAGAAATTTAATTCTACGCTGTGTTTGTCATAAAGTGGATCAACCTGCTCTCACTACCGGTTTCGGAGCCCTACTCCATCATCAGGTGAGCTTGGGCAGATCCACAAAATTTAAATTTCTATATCAGCAGTTAAGTGGCAAGAATCCTTATATAATTTTATTATTTATAATAACATGTTTTGATATACATCCATTCAGAAATACGAAAAACCCGAGCCCCCCCCCCTAAAATCTATAAATTGGGTTAAATATTAGGCTTTTGGCTTCAAAATGGCGCACTAAAAAGCATATTCTGCATTACTTTTTATTTGCCTCCCCCCCACAAATAAATTTCTGTATCCGCCCATGGTCGTGATTGGGTGTTTGTTTTTTATTGTTAACCCAGATTAACCATAAAAACACAAACAACCAATCACGGCGCGTCTCGGCGAATTTCAGGAAACGTGGGAACTAATTTTTATAACACGGGCTTATAATTGAGTTTACTTCTGAAAGTATTTCCAGAAATGTTTTGCGAAGTGTTTCACAAATATTTCCAGAAATATTTCGTAAAACATTTCGGGGATAGTGTAGAGGCTGTTTTAGATTAAAATTATATAATTCGTTTTTAGGTTTTTGGAAACGAATGCGTGTTTTTACCTCGGAATGACTACTGTAATTAAAGAGTTAGATATTCTCGAATATTTTGAAACTGAGGTAGTCAGTGATTTAAAATGTTTCATACGTGATTTACATTCTTTGAACTTGACTGTTGTATGTACCTTATCACCACCGGGCGCAACTTACTCCAGAGTGATTGATATCTTGATGGAAAATAGTCTAGAACAGGTAAGATCAATTTTATTTTTATATTCTGTACAAGAAATTACGACTTTATTACATTTAGACATTTGACATAGTGTATGATGGGGTAACTATGGGGCTTAAATAATATATCTGAGTAGTGCTGGTCTTGGACTGGCGTTAGTATTGCACTGGTCAGTCTTAGCCTTGCAGATAAAACGCTAGTCTAGGTGTTGGTCTCAGTTTTTGTGCAAGACCAAGACCAAGACCAGTCTCGTTCGTCACTACGAGCGGGCGTGCTAAGCGCGAGACTTATCAATCCGCAGGTCGGGCAATCGCGATCGCGAAAATACGCATTGGCATACGCTTCGCACGCCACGATTCATGGCTGCTCGGGTGCTTTATCACTCACCAGAGGAAGACAGTGAGCATTAGCATCAAAACTAATCAGTTTTGATTTTAATCGCCGCGCCGCACAGTGTTGCATCAAATGGACAAAATTCAAAAACATGAACAAATATTTTGTTACTATTATATAAATAAACTAGCGTGTACCCGCGACTTCGTTCGCTTCGTCTTAATCATTTGTAATAGTGATGATAAAGCAAAGCAAGAATTTCCATTAGCATACAAACCATATGCAAACTGAATAAAATTTTCTCACATTTATGTCAGCATGACAAAAAACAATATGGCGATATTATTATATAACTTGGTAATATTTGAGGGGTAGTTTCATCTCGTTGGAATTTGACTTTCGAAAAATCCGTTTGCCAAAAATAAGCTTTTAACGTCAAGCAGTTTAAGCAGAATCGTGGTTAATCAATTACCCAACTTTCTGGAACACCCTGTATGATTTTTTAAATATTTTCAAAATATGTAAAAAAAACAAAATAAATTATGCGTGTCCAAGCGTTTTCCCGAAAGAGTAACTGTTTTCACCCTCTAAGAAGGAAGCGACTTTTCTCAGTGATTTTACTCCACTATAAATGGTTATCGTTGAGCTCTGTGGTTGAGCCACGACTATCGAATGCTTTTGATAAATGAAATTTAGTATTCGTTTGATTTTTGTATGCGTCAGTGCATTATTAGTTCTTCCAACTTTTTATAACTTCGCCGTATAAATACTGTGCTATTTTTGCGTTTATTAAAATAGTTAAAATACTAAAATAGTAGTTATTTTTTAATTTTATTTATTGACGATTGTGTGCATGTGCAGGTGGTCAAAATTTTTCCGAAAATTTGTATGGTTTTCCGTAGTCCGATCTTTCAATTATTTAATTTTATATGGTATATGGTCTATTTTTTAATGGGAAATTTTGAGAAGTAGCAATTTTTAAGAGATGAGATGAACTTACAATTAATTTTAAAAATACATATTTGTATTTTAGATGTTTTAATAATATGAATTAGTTGAACTTAATAATCATATTTAAGTAATGTGGTTGTATAATCATATTTAAGTAAATGGTTATCGAACTCAAACTATGGGGTGAGAAAATTAAAATGAAAGTTTTACACGTGCCAATTTAAAAAAAAAGTTAACGATGTTTGTATTTTGTTTATGCTAATTCTCTTACATGTAGTTTTTTGCAAAGAAAAAATATTTCATTTATGTTTTAAAGTAAATGCCAGTAAAAGTAAATATAATTTTTAAATAGTAATATAAAGCACCTAATATAAATAATTTTGATTTCTAATTTTTTATTTATATTTTCCCTCCATTACACTGCATGCTTAGAAAATTAATAAATGTTTATATTTCATGATTTTAAAATTTGTTGTTAATATAACAAATTAGTTCTGTAATTATTATTATTTAATAAACCAACGTTGCCAAAAAATTTAGAGACTATATTATTTTTAAATAGGATCTAATATAAATAATTTTTACATCTAATTTGTTGTTTATATTTTGCTACTACTTAAAAATATTAGGTATTTCCTTTAGATGGTCTATTCTTACTTTGCTATAAATATGGTAATCGTAAATCCTACAGGATGTTCAATATTCTACGCCAAACTTTCTAAAATAAAAAATATTTTTTCCTTGTTTTTTTAAATGGAACACCCATATTTTTTTTTATTAGATGGAGAGTGTAAAAATGGACATTTTTTGTATTTAGAGTATTTCAAAATTCTTAACGGTTTCGCAGATACACGCAGTATTATTTCATATGGCGCTTTCAATGGTAAAATACGAGAGAAAAATCATTGGGTGGCTTTGATAAAAATTTACTGTGGAAAATGCCATATGAAATATAAAACCGCAAATATCTGGGAAACCGTTAAAAATTTTGAAATACTGTAAATACAAAAAATGTTCTTTTTTTAATTCTCCTTTAATTGAAAATATAATATACAGGGTGTTCCATTTAAAAAAAACGAAGAAAAATTATTTTATATTTTAGAAAGTTTGGCGTAGAATTTTGAACATCCTGTATAATCTACGATATTCATATTTATAGCAAAGTCAGTACAGACCATCTAAAGTAAATACCTAATATAGTTTTGATTTCAGAATAGTTCTTGTATTTTTAATAATTTTTTTAAGATGGGCTGAAAAATATATATTTTTGATTTATTTTTTAATATCTCTGAAACTATCGAAATGTATTTATTCATACCTTAGGGTTATGTAAAGTGATCGGAAAGAAAGCCAAAAATGCAATAATATACAGGGTGTTCCATTTAAAAAAAATCATCCAGGTCCATTCACACTTTTTTGAGCCACCCTATAGAAGTTAAAATATTTTCCTGAAATACATCCTCGTACATACTTTAGGTTTGCACTTAAACAAAATTCTCAAGTTTTTTATTCTTGGAGCTACAGATGCCCGACGCACTATTACCGGACCCTGTATAGATATACTATCCCTAATTAACTAAAGCCAAACAATAATATTCTTTGCTAATATCAACTAATACCAAAATATGGCAACAGCGCCTTTCATAATGTATTTTCTGTGTAAATACTAGCACCCAAAGACATTATAAATATAGACCGAACATCTCATTCATAAATACTCGTTGGAAGTGTATCAAACATTCCAATGTGTCAAACAAGGACAGAAGAGACAGAGAAGTCTAAAATTTCCGACTCCGGCAACTAAGCGCATTTGGATTTTTCTAATGGCCAGTGGCGTATCGTTTTTTGGAAGGAATTTAATTAGTAAAGTAAAAGTAAAGTAATTAGTAAAAATTTTACTCCATATTAATATACTACATTAACACTTTTTCGTCAGATGAGTTTTATTATAAGGTCTAATATAATAAAATCACAAACCAAAAACGTAATAGGTAAAAAGCTTTATTGGAGGCCTGGGTCACACTGTATATAGGTATGTATAAAACTAGTAGCCTAAAAATTATTTACAGTTCGTCCCATTCTAAAAAAAAGGTAAATACACCGTACAAATAACTCTAGGAAGAGGTATTTGTACGGTGGTAAAAAATGGTCTAAACACGGCCGAAGGGGCAGGTATAATAAAGCAGTAAAATGTAAAAAAGGTCGGGTAAACACCTTTGTTTATTTGTTTAGCAAAATTCCTTTAGAATATCGTATAGGTATAATGACCAAAATATGACGCAATTTTAAGAAAAAAAATGTCACTTTCTGGCTTATAATAAAGTTTCAAATGCAACGTTTATATTCAAATTTGTTATGATCTACAACAGTTAGGTAGTAATTGAGACGAATTATAATTCAATTACCGGCTACTACGTTCTTGTTTTAATAGATCAAAATTCAACAAATATAATTAGAAATTATTTTAATTGTAAGGGGCTCCCTTGTAGGACGCCTATGTACAATTACGGCGGAAATTTGTACCTACCTGTGAAAAGACAAATTCGGGTAATTTGAGCTTATTTTTCCACACACTTGACACTGTCGGACGGCTCATTTTGATTCTGGAAGACTAGCAGCGACGTTGCCAATAGTTCTATACGTTTCAGCACATTAAACAGTAAACATGTCCTTTAATAGTAACGCTGTAATCCTCTGGTTAATAACCATATTATTACGCATGCTTCTTTAAAAATAAACTATTAATTTAATTAAGAAAGTGAGATTTATTGATATCCGGTGAAGGTTTTAAAGTCACCTTTTCTGCAAATCAAATTAAGTAGATAGGCGCAAATTTAAGATGTGGCAATGTCGCCTTCTCTATCTCAGTTGGTTTTTACAGTACGTAGTCAACCTCCGATTGTTTGATCGGGTTAAAATGCATAATGTGATATCTGTTCTTCCTAAATCTATGCTAGCACCTCAATAAAAAAATAATTTGTCCTTATCTATATCTGACTCCGCAAAAAATCAAAGATGCCGGCTTCTTTCATAGCATTGCCACCGACCGCTGTCGGGTTTCTCGGAAAGAAACCTACGTCGCCGGGCGACAACTAAAACTCAGTTAATATTTTATTATAATCGATCCTGACGAATGAATGAATTTCATAAATGAATGAATTTTATAAATGAATGGTTTTTGCTGCCGAATTACTAGAATACTAGAATACAATATTTCAAGGCAGATGACGGATCTATTCGATAATTTTTATTCGAATAGTTTTCAATGAATGTTTTCTTACTAACTATCGAATTATTCGAATGAATTGCAACTATCGAATGTTTTGATAGTATTCATTCGATAGTTCCCACTACTACTATAAACTACTGTTCACCTTGGAGCCTCCGCGTCGTACAAGAGGCGCCATCCTGTACAGGGTGGGTCAAATTCGACGCTTTTAAATGGAAACACCCTTTTCTATAGGAGATAGACGAAAACTAATATCGGTGTCTGGAGACATTTCCAAAGCACCTTTTTACGTAGAATTTAATGGTTTAAGTATAATTTTTTTAAAATTAATAATTTAAGAGTTATCAACAGAAAAATTTATTTTTTATTTGGGACACCCTTTATATTTTTAATTAACTGAAAATAATTTAAAATTACCTTTCCAAAAATATAGCACACTTGATAATATTTTGTTATAATCCCCTTCGAAATACAGAATTTTTAAAAGTTCGCCACTTTTAACTAGTAGGTTTTGGACCCCTTATTGATGATATGCCCTTAATGGAACTCGAAAACATTTTTCCAGACACCGCCTCTGAACGCTGAAGTTATCAGCAAATTTTTGCAGCCAATTTCAAGAACAATTGAATAGCTAACCAATATACCAGCCGTTGGCCGTCGACGCCGCCTGACTTAGTGCCCATGGATATACATATATTTGCGGAAGAATAATAAAGGTTCCTTATTCTTCTGTATAATCTAGACAATAATTAGAAATACTTAGCAGTTATGAGAGGGTATCTTTCACCTCTACTGAGATGAATTCCGCGAGAAATGTTCAAAAACTCTGTCCATAACAGAAGACGGTCGATATGTCGAACACCTGTAGCAAAATATCATGTCTTGGTTTGCTATTTATTTTTATTGTTATTAGATATAGTTTAATGTGTTGATGTTGGTTAAATATATTTTAAATTGTTATAAAATTCTGCATCTCTCATTATTTTCATTTTAATTGATGCTCACAGCTAGAATTTTTTTGCATTACAGCCGGTGCCGTTCAAAGCCTACTTATTTAAAGTGGGCGAATTTTTATCTCGATTTTTATATACTCTATATCTCGAAGAGGAATCGAGCAAAATATCAAGTATGTTATATTTTTGGAAAGGTAATTTTAATTTTTTTTCAATAAATTATAAATATACAGGGTGTCCCATATAAAAAATCAAACTTTCTGTTGATAATTCTTAAATTATTAATTTTAAAAAAATTATACTTAAACCATTAAATTCTACGTAAAAAGATGCTTTGGAAATGTTTTCATAAAAATACAAAATTTTCCATAGCAAAAAAGTTACAGCGATTTGTTAAAAATGCATATTTTAGAAAAACACCCCGTAACTCCGTAACGGTAACAGATATCGGTATGCGGTTTTCACCATCATGTTTTTGACAAAAATTGAGCTCCAGACACCGATATTAGTTTTTGTCTATCTCCTATACAAAAGGGTGTTTCCATTTAAAAGCGTCGAAATTGACCCACCCTGTACATTATATGTCTTTATGATTAAAATATCATATTTATTTTGCAGAAAAGAGTTAAACCACCTTGCCAATGCCACTACAAATATGACAAAAGAATATACTCAGATGTTATTTCTTACGAAGTATCGCCAGTGGGATCTATACTTCATTTATACGATTTATATGATTTAATGATAAGTTTGCAAGAAACGATCAAAGACCACGGAGATGTTTACTATCTTGGATATAACCTGGATGATGGAAGTAAGAGGAGTAGTCAGAATTGTTATTAGAACATATAAGGCATGAACGAAAAAAAAACGGCGTCAGCGACGGCTATGAAATGAAGATCGCTGTCATTTCATATATGTTAAATAATATGAGAAATATCATCGATTGTCATTTCCCAGCTAATTGACGTCGTTTTCTTTTCAATCATACGGTGTTTAAATACATCTTGTTTGAAGCTATACCGGGTGGTTTACATAAGTGGCTGACCTATAATTTTTTTTTATTTTTTCAGATAATTTTATATAATGACATATTATGTTACGGGTAATAAGCGAATTAGTTAATTCGTGAATTATCCGGTTAAAACGCGAATTAACCAACGCAGTCGGTTAATGCTAAAAAAACAGATATATTTTAAAAATGTTCGCAAATTATCCGGTTAGAACGCGAATTATACAACATGATTGGTTATATCCGTTGACTCTTGGTTATTTCGCGAATTAGCCGGATGATATGTTAAGTGAGCAATTATTTTTATTTACAAAAAAAATACAAATGCCCTTTGTTTTTCAAACTTAAACTAACAAATCTTTGCAAAACTTTTTTACAGTCTTAAAAATAAAACAAAAATCAGGCAGATATGCGTACCTGACTTAACCACATACTAAGTACTTATTCTTATTAGTACAGGATATAGGCTTGCATGGCCCTTAACAGATTTTTTTTGCATGACACTTAACTAGGGTTGCCAACTTTCAAAATTATAAATAGAGGATGCGAGTGTAAAAACAGGACAAGCGAAAAAATGTTTGCCAGTCCTCACCGTAACCTAGCTCAAGTCATGAATTTACCCAAAAGTTTTGTAAACTTTATTAGTACAGTCCTTTACAGTCAATTTGGCATCAAAAAAGGTCTAGACTCCCATCAAATTACCCCCGCTCTTTACCAGTCGTAAGTGGTCCACTGGAAAAGCTGCTTAAATTGGAAAATTCGTATCCGCCCACCCCACCGTTTTTGAGAAACTCAAAAATTTTGGATTCAATTTTCTGGCTGAACCGTAGATACCACAGTAAATTTTAAGGATCAAAAAATAAAGAGAATTATAACTTCTCTACATTTTCATCTCTAAAGTAACAACCTCTAAAACTAACGGAGACAAAGTTAAACTTATAATGGAATTAGGGACAATTTTTAAAATAGCCGAAATTTGTTTTTTTCAAAATATCTAGTAAGCCATGAACTTTTTCAAAAATCTGAAAGGCGCATATTTATGACCCCACAAAACTGCAATTCTTTCCCCATTTAACCGACTCTCTACCTCCAGTAGTTTCCGAGATACCCATAGAGAACATCGTAGGAAACTCACCCTGTATATACAAACTTCAATAAATGTATTATTATGTTTCTAGTTACTCACTATTGTGGTTTTAGAGTATATGACGGGTTAACACCATGTCATATGTCTCTCTATTGCATAAATTTCCTTACTATAGTTGTAGTTTTTAGGATTACAGCTTTCTGCATGTTAGTGTGAATGTATGGGGGTAGATCTATTGATTGTATATGTTGAGAGAATGGCTGCATTCGGCAGACGCCACCGATTAGTAATCGATAACTAATCATATTCTGAATGCACCTAAAAATTTCCGATGACTAATCGCCGTTGGTAATCGGACGCCATTTTTACAATCGTTCTCAAACAGCGATTTGTGATTAGCGATTACCGATTTGTTTATATAAAAAGTGTTAACAATATTACAATCTCTAAATGGCATGCAAGATTATTTATAGAAGAGAATACTTTTGATGCATTTGTTATTATTTATTTCGTAGTTATTTATAAATTTGTAAAAAAAATATTAGTGTAAAAATTAAAAAGTAAAAAAAAATAAATATTATTTATTAAATACACAAACGAGATAAATGAAAATGATATAAATAAATAAACTAATATATAAAAGTCAAAAACCATATCAAAAATTAAATAAAAACTAGTGGGCTCTCCCGTTAATCGTAGAAATTATAAAAAGGCATTCAGAAAAATTACAAATCGCAAGAAAACGATTACTAATCGTAAATGGCCGATTACCAATCGGATTCCGTCTGCTAAATGCAGCCAATGCTTTTGTAGTTATACCTGTTACTGATATAACTATAGGTATAATTGTTACTTTATTTTGTTTCCACATTTTCTGAATTTCTATAGCAAGTGGTGTGTAATTTTTTCTCTTTCTTTTGATGTTACATTGCTGTCGTTGGGTACAGCGATATCGATAATAAATGTTTGTTTATATATTTCATTGATCAATGTTATGTCAGGCCTATTGTTTATTATTGTTTTATCTGTATGGATTGTTCTGTCCCAGTATAGTTTATGTGTTTCATTTTCCATTACGTTTTCGGGAGTGTACTTATAATATTGCAACCTTGTTGTCTAAGCTGTATTTGATTGCCAGTTCTTGATGGATTATCTTTGCTACCGTGTTATGTCGACCAGTGTAATCTGTCCCCGCTAGTATTTTGCAACATTAGAATTTTTAGAATTTAGAATGAGTGGGAGGGGGGTTAATCACTTCGACCTTACAGATCCATTGTGTCCCCCTTTCTTGAATCATAACTCATCATACAGTCCCAGGGCTTTGACAAAAGCCAGTATCTGGGACGGTTTTATAGAGGGTAGTTCTCCATCTCCAGTATCAGTCGTACCAAAATTCATGGCACGAATGGTTGTCGTCTCGGCGCACTCAATGATGAGGTGTACTGGTGTTTCACCATCTTCCCCACAGAATCTGCATTCGCCGTTTCTTGTTAGTTTCAATCTACTGAGGTGTTCATTGAGGAGACAGTGTCCTGTTGAAAACCCCGTGACAATCCGAAGATTGTTCTTACTCAGACCCAGGAAGATCTGTGATTTTTCTTGATCATAAGCCCTCAGAAACTTCTTCGAGTGTATTAGAGCATTGCAAGATATCCATTCCAGGTTGCGGATGGAATCTCCCAAGTTCTTGAGTTCCGCCTTGAGTTGGTTACCACTTGGAAAGCAGAACGGTTCTGGTCCAGTTAGTGGAGTGTTCGCTCCTTTCCTAGCTAGATTATTTGCTTTTTCATTGCCTTCTATCCCTTGGTGAGCAGGCACCCAGTGTAGGAGGACTTTGTTTTCTTTGCCTAATTTATTCAGCTTCTCTATGCATTCTTTGACCAATTTCAAATTGATTGATACTGAGTTGATCGCCTTTAACGCTGCTTGACTATCAGATAAGATGGCTATTTCTTGTTTCCGATAGTTCCTATCTAAGATAAGTTGTACGCATCTCTCGATAGCGTAGATTTCTGCCTGTAGGATACTAGGGTAAGTGCCCATTGGTTCGGAGTAATTAGCTCTCGGCGCAAACACTCCGATCCCTGTTCCCGTATTGGTTTTGGAAGCATCAGTATACCAAGTTATGGTATGGTCTTTTAACTGCTGGGCAAGCGTTTCGCTCTTCCAATCCTTCTTATTGCTCAATACTACATTGACATGTTTGTCAAAGTTGTACGTTCTTGGCATATCGTCCACTGGGAGTTGCAGGAGTGGTATTTCCTTTTTGAGGCTGATCTGACAATTCTCCCAGTACTAATTCCGTTAGTGACCATTCTAATCATTGTCGCATTGGCATATCTACCAATGACAATGTGCAGTGGTGTTAGATCTAGAATGACCTCCATTGCTGCTGTTGGACAGGTTCTCATGGCTCCTGTGATGCAAACACATGCTAGTCTCTGGACTTTGCATAGGTTTAGCCTTGCCGTCCGTTGCTCTAGTTTTGTGTACCAGGCAACTGCTCCATAAGTAATCATGGGTCTTACTATCATGGTATACATCCAGCGCAAAATGTTAGGGGAGCAGCCCCATCTATTTCCGGCCAGTCTTCTGCATATCATGAGAGCCTTTATGGCTTTGCTGGTAGTGTTCTTAATAGGCCTGTTCCACAGGAGTTTACTGTCCAGGGTTATTCCCAGGTATTTAACTTCCTGTGTTGGCAGTATTTCCTTTCCATCTAGTTGGATTATTTTCAAGTTTTTCAGACTTCGCCTTCTGGTGAATGGCACTATCGCGGTTTTGTCTGAGTTGATACTCAGCCCGACAGTCCTACACCATCTCTCAGTGATACGGAGTCCTCTTTGGATAATATAACACAAGGTGCCTTCATGTTTCCCCCGAGCGATCATGACTATGTCATCTGCATACCCAATGCAGTGTATTCCCGCTAGAGTTAATTCATCTAGTAGTTCATCCACCACCAAGCTCCACAGCAAAGGGGAGGTTACTCCACCTTGTGGAGTTCCTTGCGTTGTTTTAACAGCTACAGTTTTGGTGCCCATCTGAGCCTCTGCTGTTCGTGTTGACAGCATTTCCCAAAACCAGCGAATAAATAATTTTGCAACATAGGTTGCCCCTATTATGCTCGATTATGCTCGATTGTTTCTGGATACTGTTATATGCTCGATTGTTTCTGGATACTGCTGACATTTTCGACATTTGTCTGTATCCATTCTCTCTTTCAGTATATATTTCCTATAATTTTTGGTTGCTATGACTCTGTCCTGAATGGCTAACAGAAATTCTTCAGTTTCAGATTATAGTTGCCTACCGACAACCACTTGCATGATAATCCTACATCTATTTGTGAGTTTTACATTATGGCATCGTGCGTCCCGTGAAGTGCCTTCCCTGCCCAGGTATCTTTCTTTTCTTGTTGTGGATTTGTGCATCTATTTTCCTCAGCATTATCACAGGTATTATATTTGTTTAAGTTGAGCGGAGTGTACTGCTTATCTGTCATTAGAATTGCTCGATGAAGAGGTGTGATTTTATTTCTGAAATATTTCCTTAGATTTTCTATTTGTGTATTATGTAGTAGGTACTTTTATATCTACTAAGCCTCTTCCTCCTTCCTTCCTACTTAATGTGATTCTTTCGGTGCATGACTTTGGATGTAGTTTACGATGTTCTGTTAATGTTGTTCTATTCAAGCGGTTTAATGCTTTAAAGTCTGTTTCTGACCATTTAACAATAGTTGGCCATGACTTCATAAAAAGCGCCATTTTTAAGCTTTTCGGCGATATAAGCTATAATATGTTTCTTTCGCAAAATTACTGAGTTATTATCTTTCTTGACTAATTTCACTTAGTTAGCCATGGAAACAAGTTCAATCGTCGTTGCTCTCAGAAATGTGAAATTATCATATCCAATCTTTGTAAATTAAAATAAACAAAAATTGCAAATAAAAATTTTTCAAATGAAGAAAAGCGTGTAGGATTATTGGTTAAAGTTTTCTTGGCAATACAGTTTCGAGGATACGTTGACCGGTGAAAGTTACTTACGTTTTTTAGAGAACGATTTTCAAGAGTGTTCTAATTGTTATGATTTATAACTTATAAAAAGACAAAATATATTATTAAACGGTTCTTTAAAATTTGCATTACACAAGTTATTAAATTAATTAAGTTATTTTAGAAAATTTTCAAAAAATCCGCAATTGTTTTGAGTACATAAATGCATCTTTTTAAAACTGAATTTCTAGCTATTCTCACAGAACGACCGGTCGTCTTAATCAAACTTCTCCTGTTCCGCCTCTTCGAGTGCTTCTCTCAATTCATAAGTTCTTTTGTAAACCTTGTTGTTAACCATACCGCATAAAAAAATCTAAAATGGATAGGTCAAGTGACCGAGGAGACCCATGCAATTGGTCCACCCCTTTCTATCCCTGAGTCTACATAATTATGGTGTAAATAATTTTTAACATTTCTTTCATTGTGGGGAGGGGGTTTGGTGTGTCATAATTAAAGTCATGTTGGAACCACTCTATTAATGCGCTAGTATCTAAATTTAACTTTTCTAACATGTCTTGAAAACCATTCTCTAAAAAAAAGTAAGTAACGTTCACCGGTCACCGGCCAACGTATCTTCAAAACTGTATAGCCCAGAAAAGTTGAACCAATAATAGGAGTATTTGGTTTGACGACGCGACGATTGAACTTGTTTCCATGGCTAACTAAGTGAAATTAGTCAAGAAAGATAATAATTGGCTATAACTCAGTAATTTTGCGAAAGAAACATATTATAGCTTATATCGCTGAAAAGCTTAAAAAATGGCGCTTTTTATGAAGTCATGGCCAACTATGGTTTCCATCATCCACATATGGTGTCATATGTCAAAAATGACGGGCTTTAGAAAATATCGGAGAACACAATCTCATTAGAGATGTGATTATCTACAACTTTTATCTGAAAACTTTTTGTCTAAAATAGATTATAATGGAATTAGGAACAATTTTTAAAATAGCCAAAATTTGTTTTTTTTTAAATATCTAAAACCATGAATATCTGTAAGCCATGAACTTTTTTTTTATTATTATTTATGACCCCACAAAACTGCAATTCTTTCCCCATTTAACCGACTCTCTACCTCCAGTAGTTTCCGAGGTACCCATAGAGAACATCGTAGGAAACTCACCCTGTATATCTAGTGTCTTTATTAGCCAGGTATGTGGGATACTGTAGAAAGCTTTTTGATAATCTATATAGCATGTGTGCATATTTCGTTGGTGCTTCTCTATTTGTTTCATAATGATAGTATCTATAATGATCTGCTCTTTTCATCCTCGGCTATTTTTTGAACATCCTTTCTGTTCTTCTAGTATTATGTCATTTTGTGTTAGGTGATTATCGATCTTTTGTGTTATTAGAGACGTAATTATTTTATACAGGGTAGGTAAACATGTAATCGGTCTGTAGTTGGCAGGATTTTGTGTGTCTTCGCTTTTAGGCTTTATGTATGTTTTTCCTTGTGTTAGAAAATGTGGCATGTTTTGTGGCTCAAGTACAATGTTGTTTATTAGTTTTAATAAGTGTTGATGTATTGCTGTACTTTTTATACCAGTAGTTGTGAATGTGGTCTACTCCAGGGGCCTTCCAGTTGTGTTTTTTGTATGGTTTTAGTTAGCTCTTCTATTGTAAATGTAGGATTTGCTTGTTGTTGTATATGTTTGTACTTATTTTGTTTTTCAATCCACGGGGCACTTTCGTTATGAGTTATTGTGCTTGACCATATACTTTCCCAAAATTGCTTGATTTCTTCTGCATTTGGAGGTAATATTGGATTATGTGTTGGATTGGCAAGGCTGGTATAAAATAGTTTTTGACTTGCATTAAATTGTGCGTTTTGTTTCCTTCTTTCGTTAGATTCGGTGTATCTTTTTAGTCTATTATTATTATTATTATTATTAATAATAAATTAGTTCAAAGGACTAAATATATTTAATTTATTTGTTTCATTTCTAGAGCTCCGACCCCACCATGCAGACTGGTTAGATGTTGCATCTATGATAACATCAACAAAATATCGTTGCTGTTTCTTTAGTACTCAATACAAAATTTCTGCAGTTTTATTTAACGTATCTTGTCATTTTATCTTAAAACGAATACAACAATCAGGTATCTAATAATTTATTTACTCCAATTTTAACTAGATATTATTTATTTTATATTTTAGAACATCTTAAGATGACTCCGACTATGGACAGCTCAATACATCTTTTAGAAACATTATGTCCATTGGCACAGTCAATATTTCACCTGCGCTCAGTCTCCCCTTCAGACTTAGAAGCGCTATACGAAAGCCTCGAAGACGTTAGATTAATATTATCAAGTATGGTGTTTAAAAAACCTACTGATCTGACCACATCTTTAAAGGATCTCAATTTCACTCCTACCGCACAACGTTTTCCAGAACGTCCTCCCACAACTTTACGTGTACCTGAAATTCCTGTTATTAGTTTAGGGAAGCCCACTCCTTCAACTCCTAAAAGCGAGGAAGTTGAAAAACCTGAGATTAAATTTTCTCCAAATGTAAAGGAAAGCACCACAATAGAAAGTACCTCTCTAGATAACATTTATAAAGATTTTATCCATCATATGAAACATGTAAGTGGGAGGAAAGTTCCCGCTGACAAAGTAAAAAGCATGAGATCCAAAAGGATAGAATATGTTGAGAAGACTCTCAAAACTATAAAAGAACAGTTTTCTCGTAATTATGAATTTGTAAAAAGTATACTATCGGATAATCAGAGTGGAAAAACAAAACTGCCGACTAACGTTGTTATAGACCCACTAAGCCCAAAACCTCCCAGCCCGGCGAATGTAGAAATGGAAGAAGAAGAAGAAATTAATAGAGAGGTGCCTCAAGATGAAGCGAAAATTAAAAAAGAACTATGGAGAATGAAAAAACGAGAGAAAGTAGAGAAACAGAAAAAATTCGATAAACTTTCGAGAAAGCAACAAAAAGAATTTTTAAAAGAGGAAAAACGTAAGAGAAGACCAAAACCAAGTACAAAGCACAAGTTTCCTGGCGAAGAAATTAGATCTGTCAAATCATCGACTTCTGCAGCTTCCATTTCAAAATCGTCAACTTCTACTGCCACTTCAACTACTGCCTCACAACCATTGGTTTCTGCAGCTTCTTCTTCGCAATCATCGACACCTGTAGTGAAACTATCAAACTTTGGAGACTCCGATATGAACCTATCGACTTCTGCAGCTTTCGTTCCACAACCATCTACTTCTGCAGCTTTTGTCCCACAAACATCTAGTTCTGCAGCTTTCGTTCCACAACCATCTACTTCTGCAGATTTCGTTCCACACCCATCTACTTCTGCAGCTTGTTCTTCGACACTATCCACTCCTGCAGCTTCTGCTTCAAACACGTCCCACAACCCGTCTATTTCTGCAGCTGAGCAAGGAAAGTTATATCGCATAACATATAAGCCTAATGCATATAGGGATAAACATCAATTTTGTAAGTTACATAATGATATAAAATGTGCACAATTCGAACGAGCACCACTTGACTGCCTTTCTACATTAAAAGGTTTTCTTGCCTTAGCTGATATTTTACGAATGAATAATATAAGTAACACAGAGACAAAAGTTTTCTGTATGGAAGATCTTGATTACTATTTCAAATTTACTTTTAAGAAATTTGTAGGATTAAATACAGATGCCCTACAATTCACCGTTCTTAGAAATATACATATCTCTTATATTTCTTTGATTGACAGAGAATTTCATATTCCTATAATTATTCCACACGACCCTCCACGACTTACGCGTCTACAAGCCTTTACGCCTGTACAACCATATCCCTCTTCTCCCAAAAGGGAAGAAGAGGAAGCTTTTCTTGAGAGAGTATTACGAATGCGTATTCCTGAAGTGCTTCCGAATGTAGAAGAAAATGTAGAAGAGGAAGAAGAGGAAATCTTTGTTTAATGATTAATTTTTGGGCCATTTTGGACAGTGTAAAATGTTGACAGGCATATTTATATTTGTGTAATTTATGTGGTATTGTGTAAAATGTATAAGTTATAAGAATGTGTTTATGTTGTTTATACTTTTATGCGTAGTATAAAGTAATAAATAATCTATACAATAACTCAAGTTTTCAGTCAGGAACATTACATCAAACAATCATGTCAACAACTATTATATCAAAATGTTTAAAGATAAATCTAGTTTAGAATGGTCCAGGAAAGGTCCAATCAACGATTGTCCCCTACACAGTACAACTTATTTAAGTATTATTTATAAGTTTATTATCCCATTACTGATATTTTTATCATTTCTGGTGAACAGTATTTATAATTGAAGATGGTCTAAAATACACAAAAAGAAGAAGAAGTAGAACATTTTGTTTGATGACTAATTTATGGACCATTTATATTTAAGGTTTTGACTAGCATATGTTTGTGTTTATTTTTGTATCGTCTTGTAATATGTATAAATTTTAGTATTACGTGTATTTTTTATTTTTAGTATGTGTCATGTTATTTATACTTTTATATTGTAGTATAAAATAATAAATGATACAACAACCTAATAGCATTTCTTGTATATGAATATACCATTTCTTAACATAAATAGGAAAGAGTTACATTTCAGTCCCAGAAAGATGTATTTTTAAAAACACAAATTTTGGAATAAACTTTTTTATTTTATGGAACAGCAATCGAATGTTACCTGTACAATAGCTAGACAAGAACTAAAACTAAGATCTATATTGATTTATATTGAAGCTTCTTCTTTTATGGCAATCTGCTGCGTTGCAGGTTCCCAAGCAAAAGTGCAGGTGCATCTTGGCCGGTATTGTCCGTGAGAAGTCTCTGAACTCTGGACTATTCCACCCTCGTTAAAATAAATAGATATTTCCAATATCTTTTTGACCAGAGTTACTGACTGATTGGTCATGCTTCACATTTTATAAATATTTTAAAAGTTTAATTTAGTAATATTGGTTAGGTTAGTGTTATTTGTTCGAAATTTAAGGCTGGTAGTATTAAGAGTTTTCCCTTGTGGATTTGTCGACTGTGAAATTTTTTTAGTATTATTTCTAGTAGATAGAATATGAGAGACTCTCCTCCTCATTTCCCGGCTCCGGCTCCTCCGATACGCCGATCGTAGCCAGCATTGAACCATTCGCTTATAGGGACCTACAGAAATATCGATATACTACTTTTTGATATTTCATTATATTAAAAGAGTCTATCTATTTAGATAATAACTATCGATATCAATCGATATTAAATAAGTCGATTCGTTCCTACCTTTCCTTCAAAGAGAAAGAGAGATAGGATGATATAGAGAAACAGAGATGTTCTTATCCCCACTTATTTTTATCCCCACTATATCTATGTCTAGTCATATACCGGGTGCGTCTCAAAAGTGACTCACCCTTATAACTTTTTTATTATTTCAGATAAAAAAACGAGATTTGATGTGTTAGTATATAACATAAATTACGATTGATTGACGTATTCAATTGTTTTTGGTCACTTCCTGTTTCACCGGAAATGACTACAACTTTTGATTTTTAAATCGCACCCTCGGTATTTTTTTACTTTATTTGATAGAAAATTAATTCTGAATAGAATGACATATTATATGTCAACTTTTGACATTCTCGCTTAACAAAAAATTGTATTTTAAATTCAATCTAGAGTGCCATGGCTATGTTAAAAACACTAATTCTTGATCAAGGAGCCTTGGAAAAATAGATCCCATCGAAAACATAGAATGTAAAAAAATGCCAAGTCTCGCAACACAATTCCTCTGCTATAAAAAGTTGTGAGATCTCATGTAAAACCAAGTCAATTTATTTTATTTAGTCTCTCTTTAAGCCTATTCAACAATTTTGTTACAAATTGTTAGTATCAATATTAGTCATCTTTATTTCTATAATAATCATAATGACTTGGCAATTGCATGCACGGCACCTTAATTATAAAAAAGAATATTCTACTATTTCGATTACTAAGTAAATCTAAGGGCACAAACATAATGAGGTATCCCTATGCGGTGCTCGCCAAGATGCTGGCCGCGCTGCTCGCCAGGATGGTAGCCGCGATGCATCCTACGCGCACTGTTTTAAAACGGCGAGCGCGTAGGATGCATCGCGACTATCGTACAAACATAGTGCGGGGCATTTCATCTCGATGCGATGCGCGCCATTCACCTCGCCATCCGGCGATGCTGAATCAAACATGTACAAATTTATGCGTCAAAACATACTGGAGCCTCGCACCTCGCCACGCACCTAGATGTTCAGCGCGATGCTTCCTAGGAAACAACATTTTTGTTTTTTGCGAAAAGCGGACGCGGATGCCTGAAACTTTACATTTGATTGGTCGGTTTAGGATCACAATTCGTTGAGCATATGTCGAACTAGAGTCGGGTGGAATAAAATGTTCACAATACTAATATTTAATTTATCACCAACAATGTAATAACCTTTATTCTACAGGGTCTGGCAATAGTGCGTCGGGCATCTGCAGTTCTAATAATAAAAAACTTATGAATTTTGTAGTCCAGACATAAAGTATGTATTAGGATGTATTTGAGGAAAATATTTGAACTTCTAAAGGCTCAAAAAAGTGAGTGGATCGCGAATATTTTTTTTTAAATGGAACACCTATATACGGGGTGGCGTAACTCATTCGCCTCGGTTGATTATACGAAAACGGAAATATGTAGAAACAAAATATTTTATGGGCATATGTGGGAAGACCATGTGCATAATTTAAAATTATTTTGAAATGTACAGGGTATGTCAGAACTAAGGTTTACACCAAAATTATATTTTTTCTTATGAAACACCGGGTATTTTATTTCATATTTGGATCCTTGGACACAAAATAAGGCATGTATTATAAGGGTTATTATATATTAATATGTTTACAAGGTTTGGTTTTTGAGATATTTAAAGATATTTAAATATGCATGCTACAATGGAATAGATTATTAACACCCTGTACATTACTTTTTAGAATTTATTCTTGTGCTGAGTTTAAAGATAGAAAAATAAACTTTACTGAAAAATTGTATTGCTCCCTTAAATTTATACAGGGGTACCAAAAATTGATGATTTATTTTAAATGTTTATTTTACATAAAAACCTTGTTATTTCAAATACGACAACCTGTATTTGGGCTTTGGACTTTATTCATTTATAGCAAGTACTTTAATCGCTAGTTGATTAAAAAAAGTATACCATTAATATTGCAAATTATATTTTATCCTCTTATAGTATATGTCTTTTTAATTTTTTGATGATGTAACCAGCACTTTGTTTACTCACTTGTTTTGTCGAAATGCTTGAATCCATTTTTGCTTTTGATCAAACCTATGAAGCTATAAAATGTTGTTTCGGGAGAGTTGAATATCCGGGAAAGTTGAGTTATTGAATGTATATAATTGCACCCAACAACGTCCTAAGTACGCTCTCCTTTACGCGTTAACATTTTTTCGGCAATTTTATTAACATTTGAAATTGTCCCAACACAGCACGACGCGACGCCTAGTTGGAATTCTTTTTCATTTATTTTTTATTACCCGAAACAGCGTTACATCATACAAACCTCCTACCTAAGTGTTTTATCTCTTTTTTTGTCTCAATAACTGCACTAGCAAAAAACTAAAATACTTAAATATTATAACCAAACCACGATTTCAGTATTATTCTATGCGATCAACATGGCGGCGATATGAAATAGGTAGGGATCTTAGACAAGGAAAGAGAGGGGACGGGTAACACCAGAGAAATAGAAGGGATAGAGAATGAGCGTCAACATGCGCAGAAGGTCTAATCAAGTTGGACGCCATATTCCAGGTCTTCGTGTCATTTTGTATATAGGTGGTAATCTATAAGTAATCAAATATCAATTTGCTGTTTTCAACCATACGGGGGGCAATTTAAATTTAGTGAAATTCTATCATTTATTATGGTTAGTTAACATTAATATGATTTATTTAATTATCAGTTTCAAAACTGCGTACAATATTGGTATATAATACACTAAATATACGAATATTCTGACAAAAGACGCTACGGACAGATGACCTTTTCGTCGTAAAACACTCGAAATGATATTAAATAAGTATTTACAATATTTCATGTTTACTTGTACTGAATTACGCGTTTCAATTTAAAATTTTTGCAAATTTGGTAAAAATTGTTCTAAACAACTTTTTGTTCAAGTTGTATATTCATAAAAAACATTTGGTTCATAATTATTTTTGATGATTACCTACCTTGTATTTTTAATATAAACCTAGAAAAAATATGTTTTTGTTTTATTTTTTTTATTCGTCCCTTCAAATTATGTTTCAAAAACTGTTACATAACATGTCCTCTAACAAATATTTTCATAATACATAAACATCATTGATTTTATTAAGGGTATTATTATTAGTATTTATCCTGGTTTTTGTCGACAATAAAAACTCAATCTTGTAATAGAACATCAATTTTATATTTCGTAAAATTATTTTGATACAAATTCGATTTGTCAAAATTCAAGTCATTAATATATTGATAAACAACCCAAATTATTCCTAAATATTTTATTATAAACAAAAACTGTTACCGGTAAGTTTGTAAAACACATTATGGTTTGTCGTAATACTAGAAAAAATCATTTATTTTTTGCACAAAAGAAGCTTGTCGATCCTTATTTGTCCATAACAAAATTCTGTATGTACATATACCTAATTTATTATTAAGAAAATTAGATTATATGATCTCAGAATTTTAAGAAATTTTTTTTTAAGATAAAATAGTTTCTTCTCAACTGTAATATTGTCAACTTTGGCCTGTATTTTATCTATTTAAAAACATGGGATTGACAATCCCCTTACTAAAATACATACTGGAAGGTACCGATTAAGTTTCATTGCATCAAATACCTTTACTATAAATCCTGGCTCACAACTCACAATTTAAGGCCATTGCAAAATGCTTTTGAACTTCATCATAGATTTTACAAGAATAAAAGTGTAATATTGAAACAAAGTAACACTGTAAGCTTCATGACTAATAGTCTCATTTTTAACACTCTTTAAATATCATCTCGTTAACAATTATGAATATTATATGATTTTTCTCAGTGATTTGTGGCACAGATACAAATTAATATATGCCCCATAACAGTTTTTAAATAAGAAACTTCTGCCCACAGATTTAATTTCTTATTGGCATAATACCCTTTCTTCCTATATAAATCTTGCCATTTTTTCAGTCCAATGTTCCTTGTTTTTACAGTTGTAGGAATACTAAAAATGTTGACTATAGAACTTGATACTAAGTTTGAAAAAGCCTTCATACTTGTAACTGTGCATAAATCTAATTAACTGAATTCGCCTCCTCTTGACACTCTGAACACTGCTGCTGCTAATGTTAAAAATATTTAGCACAAAACTACAACTACCTACAACAAACTTTACAATAAAAATGTTAAATTTTCGCTGTTCGATTAAAATACCCTATCTTATGTTTTCTTTTCCTCCAAATAATCTTCTTGTCAAGTAAGGACCAATCTAATTTGACATATTTCTGGTACACTTGAACTTGTGCTTTCATGCTTTTACTATTATTATACACTTAAATTAGCAAATTTTTTGAAAGAATATTTAAAAAAATATATGTGTGTAGTAAAGGTGCCCGGTGGCGTAGAGGTATAGGCTCTCGTCTACCAATCTCAAGGTAGTGGGTTCGAATCCCACACCCGGCATTTCATCAGCCGACAATTTTTATTAAAATAAAAATGGTTTGAGTACCTAGGTCGACTCAGACTTAAATGAGTACTTGGGATTCACAATCCTGAGGTAATAATAGGCGGTTGAAGCGTAGTGCTAGCCACATTATGGTTGTATGTATGGCAAGCTGTACCTTGCTACTCCCAAGGCGTCAAACGCTATATACGGGAGCTATTATTATTATTATGTAATATAATTTGTTTTATTAGTTTTATTTTTGTTGTTCAATAAAAGTTTATTTCTGTTTCCTAGGAATCCTATTAGGTATGTATATATGTGATTAATTATTTTAACAGATTTTAGTTGTGAAAAAAAAACAGTAGTATACATATTAGGACATTCAGCTAAATAGGAAGATCTAATTAAAAATTTTAACAAACTTTAATATTAATAAGATTTAATGTTAAATATTTAGTAAAATAAAATTTAATGTTGTATCTAGAATCTAGACATTAAAAATTAAATTTAAAAATCATTATATTATTCATTCTGATTGGTTTATAAAATCTGGAAATTTTATAAAAAGTATAGTAAAAAATTGCTCTATTTCTATTACTATTTATGTTAGAAAAAAAGTGATTGAAGGTAAAATATTCTAAATTTAATTCTCTACAAAAAACGTATCTTTAGTTTTTTCGAAAAAAATTATGCAAATAGAGATTTGAAAAAAATCGAAAAAATCCAAGATTGCGGCGGTTTTTTTCAAACTTCCCCCACTGGCACTGGGACCGAATGGGACTTTTAAGGGGTTAAATAGGAGATCATTATCTATACATTCCCGCTGAGATCGGTTGGTTACTAATTTTTTCCACCTCAACCTCCAACCTTCAGATTGACTGGTCTATCTTTCCGATAGACCCTTCAATTTGAACATAATAAGTCCTGGCCCCCCCTAAGAATATATTATCTGAGATATTTAATTAAATTTTTTAAAAAAATATCTGTAAAACATGTTTTTTCTGGTAATAATAAAATTAATTTAAAAGGGATAATAGCATTTTTGGACATTTCCTTTATTAATATTTTTTTAAATAATTTAATAATATTTCAACTATTTTATTCTGTTCGATTTAAAGAAATTGTACCAGCTTAAAGTGAATTTATACAAAAAAAAACAACAAACAAGCAAAAATTCCTTCTGCAAATTCGTGTTTTTTTTTTATTTTTTTCTAATCTAAGAATATATCGTCACAATAATATTTATGCTAGTATTCAATTTATCTTGGCGGGTTAAAAGTTGTTATTGTAGTGTAAATAATTTATTTTACCATGGAAAAAAAGGAAGATAAGACACCAGGTAATTAAGTTTGCAAGGCTAACTTTGATTATTAATTTTAATTTAACTTTTTTTATAGCACGGACTGTAAAAACAGGCCGACATCCAAGACGAAGGACAGCTATATTTGGAAAGGTGTATAAGATTTTGGAAAATTATCAAAAAAATCTGTCATCATCGCAAAGAAAAGTATTACTGTTGGTAAAGGATTACCATTTGGTTTCATATGTTAAAAGGATCTCTGTTCAAAGATCAACACCAGATGTTATGTTGTGGTGTATAAGGCAAGTATAAACTTTTTTTTTACTTAATTTATTCCTCCGACTAAATACAGGGTATTTCTTAAGAGTCCATTTCACTAGTATGAAAAAGTAGCAAAATAAGCGTTCGGCATTTAACGTCTTATGTAAAACTGCATGGCAAGGTATTTTTACACAAATGAAGAAGGAAATTAAAGATAAATATATGGTTAATTTATATGGTTTTTTAACAAATTGCTCGCTATTGTATGGCAAATGCTGAAGCTCCGCAAATCCTAATCAAGCCTTAATCAAAGAACGTGTGTTTGGAATTTTGGATGTGGCTTAACATGACAGGATCGGGCTAAGCCTTATGCAGATTTCTGAAATATAATATATATTTCCCTCGGCCACATACCCGCTTTACCCAACCCCTGAGAGCGACCCGAACAGTACAGCTTAATAGACTCTTTATTACAAGCTAATATTTTATTTTAATTATTATTTATATTAAAAAATTGGTCAAGTGCGAGTCGGACTCGGGCACGAAAGGTTCCGCAGTGGTTCCGCACCATTCATTATCTAGGGTTTCATCGAGACGAGAAATCTCGTCTCGAAGGCAATTTCTCGTCTCGTCTCGATCATCGAGAGATATTAAAAAAACTCTCGTCTCGATGTTTTTCTCGAAGTCAATTTCTCGATCTCGATTCGGGATTCTCGAAATTTCGAGAGTCTCAAAAATAAATAACTAATTTATTATTATTAAAAAATAGGCGCCGGGAGGCACGTGCCGCCCATACTAAAATATGTTAATAAAAAGTTGATAGGCAGTTCTTTTAGTTTCAAAGTAAAGAAATTTTTTCATTTTGTTTATCTCAAAAACTGCGAATTTGACTGAGTTTGATGTTATTACAAATTTTGTTAAATTGAAAACCGCGTTTCGCTAGCTACTGTAATTTTGGAGTTTTATCCCCCTCCCATACACCCTTACCAACCCCCCACACCCACCAAAAACTAATGGCAAGATTCTCGGTGCCATACAGTATTTTTGAGCCAAATTTGGTTAAAATCGGTTTAGCGGGTTTTGAGTTATCGTGTTACAGACGGACAGACAGACAGACACCATGAAAATATTTTGTATTTAGGTCATTTATGACCCAAATAACTCATATTGAGTGAAATTAAAAAAACTTTTTTTTGCCGATCTTAATAGTCTACCATACCTATTGGTATAGTCCGTATGTTATAAAGTTTGCACCAAAAAATAGGGTAAATTTTTTCTGTTATAAAATTACGTTATAGAATACAGAGCTATTATAGGTATGGTATGAACTAAAAGCCATGTGTAACAAAAAAAAATGCAGACTGGCCCAAATACCCAAAAATAAAAATATATTGTTTTAAAAAGCGAATATCAAAACGATTCCTTTATTTTTTAATTTAGTCTTTTATCCATATGGGTTTAAAATTTACCTAGCTACCTACGAAAGTTTAAAATTTTTACTTCGTTATGCAACAAACTGATTTTTGTTTACTCGAAACAGTCTTTTATTGAAAAACTTTTTTTCTGCGACATTACTTAAATTCGTTCAACTCAATAGGAGTTAATAGTGAAATTTATACAAAAATGGTGCCATAAGAACAAGAATGTATTATACTAGCGTGTACTTCGTTCGCGTCGAATTAATCATTTGTAATGGTGATGATAAAGCAAAGCAAGAATTTCCATTAACATACATACTGGATAAAATTTTCTCACATTTATGTCAGCATGAGAAAAAACAATATGGTAACAATTATTATATAACTTTGGTAATATTGCGTCTCGATCGATTTCAGGAAACGTGGGAACTAATTTTTATAACACGGGCTTATATTTATCCTACTCTTTCCAGAAATGCCTTGCGAAATGTTTTACGAAAGATTTCCAGAAATATTTCGTTAAACATTTCGCGGATAGTGTAGAGGCTGTTTTAGAGTTTACTTCTGAAAGTATTTCCAGAAATGTTTTGCGAAATGTTTCACAAAATATTTCCAGAAATATTTCGTAAAACATTCCGGGGATAGGGTAGAGGCTGTTTTAGATTAATCTTATATAATTCGTTTTAAGGTTTTTGGAAACGAATGTGTGTTTTTACATCGGATTGACTTTGTTCGACATAGAGCAAGTAGATATCGAATATCACCTAGCAAGGATGTTAAAAAGCTTCGTACTTGAATTACATTCTTTGAATTTGACTGTTGTATGTACCATATCACCACCAGGCATACATTACAGCAAAATTATGGATATCTTGATGGAAAGTAATCTAAGAAAGGTAAGATCAATTATATTTTTATATTCTGTACAAGAAATTACGACTTTATTTCATTTAGACATTTGCCATAGTGCATGGTAGAACTAGGGCTTAAATACTATATCTGAGTAGTGCTGGTGGCTCAAGTTTCGTTTACTTGAAATAAGTTATCTAAGAAATATTTGTTTATTTAGTACTTGAAAGCCTTTTCGAATAGTATATCGAAAAAATTTCTGAATGGAAAAATTCAGGAAATGGATCCTTTTCGAATTTTTCAACTTTTGAATAGCTGAAATCAGGGCTACTTTCGTTTACTTGAAATCAGCTATACGTTATATTATAATGTGCATAATTTAAAATTATTTGGAAATGTACAGGTAATTTATTTAATTTTTGGATTCTTGGGCATAAAATAAGGCAGTTATTATAGGGGTAATATTCTAAAAGCTTTGGTTTTTGATATATTTAAATATGCATGCTATAATAAAAAAGTGTGTTAACACATTGTACATTACTTTTCTCAGAATTAATTCTTATGCTGATTTTCAAGCTAGATAAATAAAATTTACAAAAAATTTGATTGGTTCCTTAAATGTATACAGGAGTACCAAAAATTGCTGGTTTGTTTTAAATATTTATTTTACATAAAAATTTCATTATTTCAATGCAACACCCTCTATTTTTTTTAAATAAATCGAACCAGATTTAAATGCACTTTCAAACTATATTATAGTTTCCTATACCTATCTGTCTCAGATTTTGAATAAAAAGCAATTTTTCGATATAAATTATAATCAAGATGGCTGTTGTCGCCATGGCTATTTTCTAGTGACACTCAGTACCTATTTTCAAAATCGACTTTAGTTTATGGACCTTATTTACATTTATAACAGGTTATTTTTATTTAATTTACCTACAATAAGGTTAATAAGTAATTATTTATTATTTTATGAAGAAAAATGAAGGAGTATCTGCTGGCAGAAGAGATGGATATGTTACTAGTGATTTTGTGAGGACAAGTGCTTGTTGGCCTGAAGGGTTTATGCTCAAAGATATCCAAATAGGAATTTTCTTGACAAGCGTTCCTTTGAAAAACTACTTTTCCTATTTTGCAGAGCTGATATGAAATATCATATGAAATACCTTTTAGGCAGCTACCTGTCGTTGGAAGTGAAAAAAATGAATTTGAATTAATTGGTTCTTTTATAGAAAATCCTTTGAAAAAGAAGACTAAGGAAGGAGCATATCAAAAATCTTAGGTACACCGCGATGGGCCTCAAATATGGCCGACTTAAATTCTGGTTTATCAGTGTCGTTCTAATTTTATTTAAAAAATGTAAAACTATGATGTAGGGTAGACGTGGGTTAGACTCAATATTTTGTTGTTTTATGTTACGTTGTGAATAAATGTTGGTAGTTATTAAAATTGTTATAAAAATATATAATTCTAATAAAAATAGATAAGTTATAATAAGAATTTATTAACACAAACATCCGATACGATCAAAGAGAAAATCCATTATGTAATTATTTTTATTTATCATTAATTATGTCATCGTAATATAAATCAACGAACTACTTCTTTATTTTTCTTGATAAAATAATAAATACTTATTAAACTATGGTAGGTAAATTGAATAAAAGTAAACTGTTATAAATTTAAATATACTAATGTCGATTTTGAAAATAGCTACTAAGCTATTAACTGTTAACTAGAAAATTGCCATGGCGACACCAGTCATCTTGATTGCCATTTAATTGAAAAATCGCTTTTTATTCAAAATCTGAGCCAAATAGGTATAGGAAACCCTAATATAGTTTGAAAGAGCAATTAAATCTGATTCGACTTATTTAAAAAATAGATAGTGTTGCATTTAAAATAACGAAATTTTTATGTAAAATAAATATTTAAAATAAACCAGCAATTTTTGATACCCCTGTATACATTTAAGGAAGCAATACATTTTTTTAGTAAAGGTGAGTATACAAGGTGAGACAAAATTAATATTGAACATTGGTCACCTTTAAAAGCATGTACTCTTTAGTTTTAAATGGAACACCCGGCATATTATTTCGATATTCAATGGAGAATTCATGTCTCTCCAAAATACTATTAAGGTTGCCTACCCCTCAAACAAAGATTTTCCTAGATATTTTCATTTACCTACATGATTTGATCTGAGTAGATCTTTATTATTTGATAAAATCTAGGTGGCTGTGATATGTCTGACGTTACTTCGACAGAGCTGTCTAATTAGTCCAACTTTAACAACAGGTTATCATTTTGTGTTAGTTAAAACAAAAAAAAAAATTCTCAGAAATTTGCCGAAAATGCAAACTTGTCCTACACCAGAGAGAATTGATATGATTCTATTAGTTGGTGAATGCAGTGTGCATTCACCAATAATAGAATACTTAAATGCTCCTGATTTTATCTAGTCTGATTTTTTTATAAGGATATTTTTAAGACAGTATTTAAAAAACTCGACCAACTATTGTCAACAACATGAGAGAAATTATTGTAGCTGCTTTTCGAGGTAGAACTCCATATATGCCTTTTAAAATGAAAGGACTCTTTTGAAAACAATCAGTTTATGGAGTTAACAGGAAAGGAAGCATTTTGAGCATTTGATTTCATCGAGCTAATTTTTGTTACATAAATATAGGTTTATATCTAGTTTTAACCAGTTAATTTCGTTTTTTATCAGAAAAAAATAAAAAAAGTTATAGGAGCGAACTACTCTTGCGAAACATCCGTTATATTATCATCTAGACCTTAGAAAATAATACTTTTTCTATAAATAAATAAAATCAGAGAAAAAATTCAATCGCTGTTTACTATAAAATGCTTCAATGGACCACAAAATTACATTCTCATGAAAATCGCAAATCGCAGCTCCTAAAAATTCAAACTCGCTGATAGAAGGTTACAATGGTCCTAGTTTACAAAATCACAATCGCAGCAAAATCGCAACTCGCAACTATAGTAATATTGGTTGACTAAATTGAAACCTGCAAATAGGAGAAATCGCAAACCGCAATTTCCTATGGGAGCCAATCGCAGGTTGCGATTGCGATGGTTTCGCAGTTTGCGATTTGTTGCCCATCTCTATAAACTACCGTTCTCCTTGGAGCCTCCGCGTCGTATAAGTCGCGCCACCCTTTACATTATATATCTTTATGATTAAAATAACATATTTATTTTCTAGAAAAGAGATAAACAACGTAGAGAAAATCCTGACATACACTCCGCATATCAGAGAAGAATATACTCAGATGTTTTGCTTTACGAAGTAGCGCCAGTGGGAAATATACTTCATTTATACGACTTATATGAATTAATGATATATTTGCAAGAAACGTTCAGACGTCACAGAGAAATTTATTTTCTTGGATTTGACCCGGATAATGGGAGTAAGTGGAGTATTCAGAATTGTTATTATTAGTTATTAGAACATATACCTACCGCATGAACGAAAAAAAACGGCATCCGGCCTGGTGAGCGAATAGGAGTGCTGGGCGGGGTCAAAATAATATATACTGATTAAGGTACTCATAACACACCCATTTTACAAACCTTAAATTAAGCTTTTAATGTTAAATTTCTTCAAAAAAACTATGAGGAACCGTTTTGTTTAGAAATCATTGGCAGCTTACATTGAAGGGTATGCTACACGTATTTTGATCCCGCCCAGTATATTCTATCCAACGCTTTGAACAAAAAGAGTAATGAAGGAGCATAATGCTATCCATGTATTCATGCGTAGTGGGCGGAAAAAAGACTCTAGGGTGGGGATCCTTGACAGTTCTGTTTGACGACTCATTTAACACATTTGAATTTGATTTGAAATTTTGTAAATTTGTCAATCTTTACTGAGGTTATTTATTTATATGTTTTTTTCTTGCATTTTTGCTTTTATTTACTACTTGTCAAAGATTAGATGTCAAAGAATTTAGATACGCCAATTTGACTTTCCTGCGTCAGTAGCGTATCGGATGTTTGTGTTATTAAATAATTATTATAACTTGTCTAGATTTATTATTAGAATTATATTATTATTTAATTTATTATTAGATTATTATTAGAATTATATATTTTTATAACAATTTTAATAAGTACCAACATTCATTCACAACGTAAAATAAAACAACAAATTATTGAGTCTACCCCACGTCTACCATACATCATAGTTTTACACTTTTTAAATAAAATTACGACACTGATAAACCGGAATTTAAGTCGGCCATATTTGAGTCCCATCGTGGTGGATCTAAGATTTTTGATATGCTCCTTCCTTAATCTTTTATTCAAAGGTCCAATGACAAGATCCTTGACAGTGATAGATGTGTCTGTCATTTTAATTTCAAAATAGTTTATTTTATTTTACAAAGAAATAAGTTGGTACTATTGGAACGCATAGCAGGAAATTAAAATATTTAAAATTTGAGTGATAAGTGATTACTTTAAAATATTGTGAAAAAAAACTGCACAAATCTTGAAATCTAATCGAGTTATTTTATTAAAAAAAAGGTATGTGCCTAATACAAAACAAACAAAAACAAAGCAACACATACCAAAAAAATTATAAAAACAACTATTTCTTACTTTCAAGCTTCAAGAAATTTCCCGCATTTATTATTATATTTAAGCCCGGTGTTTTCAGATACAGATAGTGCGTTATAATCCGTCAGATATATTTTATTTGTTGGATAGCAGAAAAACGTGTATCTTTACCTATAAGCTTCACGGCCTTCACGCTGAAAATATCGTACATACACGTGGTCCAAAATTAGTTTTTAGGAAGCCGATATGAAGAAAGATTAATTAATATAGTGGCAAAATGAAACTGTCTTTTATTCAAACGGCAATAGCTTCTAAATATGGTTTCATTACTCAACAAATGTTTTTGTTTTAGCACTGAGTAACTTCCCTCATCTATTCTATTTTTATACAAAGGCGTTGTCAACCTTCTTTGTTTCCTAGTATGCATTAGTAACACATCATCATGATCTTCCACTTCCAACAAGAGTTCAATAATCGCGGAAGAAACTGACATGTTCCCTCGAGGAGTTCTTATCTACGACTGCAGGACTATCTGTATCGCTGTGTTCTGCATTAATCCGACCTCAGACGGCAATGCGGTTGCAGAGTGCAGTCTGTGGTTGCAGTCGATCGTTGCGGTCATATTCGGAAACATACCTTTAAGGTTGTTCCATTCATCATTCGGAATCATACCTTTAAGGTACAATTCCGAACACGACCGCAGACTGCAGGCGACACTACAGGTTTCTATAGTTTTCAATGGGATGCATTCTAAAGTAGGCGTCATTGCCGTCGAACTGCAGGCCTCGCTTTAACTGCAAACCGCATTACCGCTTACGAACCAGTATTGCAGTCGACTTCACGGCCTTCACGCTGAAAATATCGTACCTACACGTGGTCCAAAATTAGTTTTTAGGAAGCGGATATGAAGAAAGATTAATTAATATAGTGGCACGCGTTGAAAGCACTTGAGGCAACGAAAAGTACGTTCAGGACGATTCTTCATTGTAAGAAACTACTCAATATATTAGGAGATGGAAACAAAGTGTCGCTAATATGGATACCCGGACATGTCGGCCTACAGGGAAATGAACGTGCTGATTCCCTCGCCAAAACTGGTGCAGGCTCGCCATTCGTGGGCCCAGAACCGACACTTAGCGTACCAAAAAATCTCGCAAGAGACAGGCTCTGTGAATGGGTTAGGGGTGTGACGTTTCGGGACTGGTATGACAGTCCCGGAATGGAACATGCCAAGACAATCCTAGCAGGGCCATCCAAACGTAGAACAGATGAACTCCTAAAGGCTGGTAGGAACGGAGCGCGTACGCTTACTGCAGTATACACGGGCCACTGCCGGCTGAGATCACATCTACAGAGGATGGGACTGGTGGAAGACGCCGAATGCCGACTCTGTATGGAAGATGACAAAACAATGTAGCACGTTATGTGTACCTGCCCCGCTGGGGGCAGGACCAGGTTTGAGGTGTTTGGCAAACCCACGCTAGACCTATCAGACCTAGAAGACATATCACCCTCGGACATAACGGCCTATGTTAAAAGGCTGGGTCTTGAGGGTGAACTTTAATGCTCTTTTTCTATTAAAGAGCTTGTAGAAACTGAGCCACAATAGGCCCTCGCGGCCTCAGTGGAGGGTCCCACCTGGGACTCACTCTTAGTAAAATACAAAAAAATACAAATGGTTCTTGAGATATTTGAAATCAAAATTATCAATACCTGTCATCATTGATATGAATTAAACATGTTGACTAAATAGTTATCAGACTGAAATCATGAATTTGAGATGTTTTTGTGTCAAAAGTTCAACAGAAACTGTTTTATATTTATAAAATTATGATTAATTTAAAAAAATAAAAATTTCACAGATTTATTATTTCAGTCAAATGACTGTCTACTCAACGTGTTTATTTTTGTGTCAATTATGACATGTATTGACTATTTCCATTCTAAATATCTTGAGAACGGTTACTCGTAGCGATTTTTACCCAGAAACATGTTTTACGTAGAAAATCACGGAAAGTTTTATACAGGTACGGATGAAAAGTTATAACTCTTCAAACCAGTTAAAACACATGTAGGTGGCGCCCTCCATAAATAGGAGTCATATTGACATCAAAATCAAATTTCTCATGTCAAAAAAACCCCAGACACATATTTTCATCCAAATATTGACGTTACTTTAGAAATTACTTGGAAAAAATCGAAATAAAACTGAAACTTCTACACCCTGAATCTCCGAAACTAAGCATTTTAGGACATACATTTATACGAACTTTTTTACATATTTTTATCTGGAGAATATGCTGCCAAAGTTTCCGGAATACAGTTTGGACCACCCTGTATATTTTGCGTGGGGAATCCCTCTCTCCCCCCGCTCAACCATAGAGTATAAAGACTACTAGAAGCCAACTCGGGACCACATTAATTTGCAATCGACATTTCGATTGCGTCACCTTTCTTTCGAAAATACTGACAAGAAACTTTATTTAGTAAATACTGATAACATAAAAGATGTTGCCACATCTAACCATTTAATCATTAAATTATAAATACTCCGATGCATGCATATTTAAATATATTTAAATATATCAAAAACCAAAGCTTGTTAATATATTTAACCGTTATAATAAATGCCTTATTTTGTGTATAAGGATCCAAATATGAAATAAAATATCGCGTGTTCCATAAAAAAAAATATAACTTTGGTGTGGATCTTAGTTCTGACATATTCTGTACATTTCAAAATAATTTTAAATTATGCACTTTGTTTTCCCACATATATCTATAAAATATTTTGTTTCTACATATTTCTGTTTTCGTATAATCAATCGAGTCGAATGAGGTACGCCATCCTGTATATAATTTGAAAAAAAAGGAACCATTTACAAATTACTTCAAAGGACTTAATATATTTAATTTATTTGTTTTATTTCTAGGTCTCCGACACCACCAAGCAGACTGGTTTGATGTTGTATCTATGATAAAATCAACAAAATATTACTGCCGTTCTATTCCTTCTCAACCAGAAATTTCTGCAGTTATATTTAACTTATCTTGTCATTTTATCGTAAAACAAGCACAACAGTCAGGTATATAATAATTTATTTACTCCAATTTAACTAGATATTATTAATTTTATATTTTAGGAAATCTTAAGATGACTCCAAGTATGAACGGCTCAATACATCTATTAGAAACATTATGTCCATTGGCACAGTCAATATTTCACCTGGGCTCAGTCTCACCTTCAGATTTAGAAAAGCTTTACGAAAGCCTCTTAGACGTTAGATTAATATTATCGAGTATGGTGTTTAAAGAAGCCACTGATCTGACCACATCTTTAAGGGAGCTCATTATAACTCATCCTCTCAGACGACGTCCTTCCATAACTTCACGTGTACCTCAACTTCCTGATATTACAATAGAGCACCCCACTCCTTCTCCGTCAAGTTCTGAAGACGAGGAAGTTGAAGAACTTGAGATTACATTTTTTCCAAATGTAAAGGAAAACACCACAAAAGAAATGTCTTATCGAGATACCATTTATACAGATTTTGTCCACCATATGAAATATGAGGGCTGTAGGACAATTCCCACTGACAAAGGAAAAAGCATGAGATCCAAAAGGACGAAATATGTTGAGGAGACTTTCAAAACTATAACAGAACAGTTTTTTCGTAATTATAGATTATTAGATAGTAGAGAATCGAAGGATAAGAGTCGAAAAAGAAAATTCCCGGGGTCTAAAATTGTTATAGACCCACTAAGCCCAAAACCTTCCAGCGCCGGGAATGAAGAAGAAAAAATTAATAAAGAGGATATCCTTCAGGATAAAGCGAAAGTTAAAAAAGCATTATGGAAAAAGAAAAAAATACAAAGCAAGAGAAGACCAAAACCAAGTACCGGGTACATGTTTCCTAGCGAAGAAATTGGATCTGTCAAATCATCGACTTCTGCAGCTTCCATTTCAAAATCGTCAACTTCTACTGCCGGTTCAACTACCGCCTTGCAATCATTGGTTTCTGCAGCTACCTCTTCGCAATCATCGACACCTGTAGCTCCCGCTTCGGTATCGCGGTTTTCTGGAACTACAGATGTGAAACCATCAAAATTTGGAGAATCCAATTTGAAACCATCAACTTCTGCACCTTTCGTCCCACAACCATCTACTTCTGCAGCTTTCGTCCCACAACCATCTACTTCTGCAGCTTTCGTCCCACAACCATCGACTTCTGCAGCTGATGAAAGAAAGTCATATGGCATATTATATCATCAGCGTAATGCAGTTTGGGATAAAAATGCATTTTTAAGGTTACATGACCATGTATCAAGTTTATTGAGAACCACTCAATTCGTACGAGCACCACTTGAGTGCCTTTCTACAATAAAAGGTTTTCTTGACCTAGCTGATATTTTACGAACACATAATATAAGTAATATAGAGACAAAAGCTTTCTGTCTGGAAGATGTCGATTATTTTTTCAAAACTTATATTATGCAAAGTAGACATATAGAAGTCGCCCTACAATACAGCGTTCTTAAAAATGAATATATGACTGATATTTCTTTGATTGACAGAGTATTACATATTCCTGAAGTGCTTCCGAATGTAGAAGAAAATGTAGAAGATGAAGACTCTTCTTCCTCTTAGTTTTTCTTTAAAGTCTTTCTTTAATGATTAATTTTTGGGCCATTTTGGATAGTGTAAAATGTTGACAGGCATATTTATATTTGTGTAATTTATGTGGTATTGTGTAAAAGGTATAAGCTATAAAAATGTGTCATGTTGTTTATACTTTTATACGTAGTATAAAGTAATATAAATATTGTATACAATAACCTCAAGTTTTCAGTCAGGAACATTATATCAAACAATCATATCAACAACTAATATATCAACATTTTTAAAGATATTTAGTTATTTTAAAGATATTATATTTTTAGTTTAGAATGGAGGGGTCCAATCAGCGATTGTCCCCTACATAGTGCAACTTATTTAAGTATTATTTATAAGTATATTATCCCATTACTGATATTTCTGGTGAACAGTATAATATAGAATTGAGACGGTCTGAATTTTTTTTTTGATGACTTGATGTATAATTTATGGACCATTCATATTTAAGGTTTTGACTAGCATATATTTGTGTTTATTTTTGTAGCGTCTTGTATTACGTATAAATTTTAGTATTATGTGTATTTTTTTAATATGTATCATGTTATTTATACTTTTATGTTGTAGTATAAAATAATAAATGATATAACAATCTAATAGCATTTCTTGTATATGAATATTTCGTAGGTGAAATGTGATAAACTGCTAACTCCATTATTCATAATTTTACAGGAGAAAACGGTACAAAAAATATGTACACATGTAAGAAGTATTTTCATGCTTTAATAAAGAATTTTATTTTCTGAGGAACAATAAAACTCAATATTTCGTGTTACATCATTTTTTTCAGACACAATAGGGAGATATTCGTCTTGCAGAAATAAGAAATAAAAATATACTTCTGGAGAGAGCAACCTTTATTGTTTGAAATTTTGATAATGAAATTGAATATTACCCAAACAGATTTAGAAATAATCAATTAAGTTTAAAAATATGATATTCATAACCATTATATTTAAAATATCGTCTGTCTAGAAGCAAAACATACAAGTCCAAAAACGAATAAATTTTTAATGCATTTTTAAAGAGCTGAAGTAACAGCATTTTGGACTTAATGAATATGAAAATAATTTAAAAATTAAACTTATAATCCTTCCATGCTTATCCTACTTTTTCTACAACGCAACGGTAGTAGACCGAGCTTCGAAAACAGAGCGTGATTTTGTTAAATTTTTATTACTTTCCTCCTTATTTTTTTAATTTTTATAATAATTATGTATCATTTACGTGGAAAAACGTTGGAAAAAATAAAACTGATTAGGTATTATGGAAATTCTTGTACAAGTAAGTAATGTTATTTAAACTATTTATAGCACGCCGATGAATTGCTCGTATATAGAGAATTTCGTTTTTCCCCTTACCCTTTACGGATACCCCGTATTTACAGAACTGATCGACGCAGGGTCGGACTGCCTATATTATATACACTATAACTATTAGGGGGGTAGACTTCGCGAGCCCCCTTTATAGTTCATTATTTATTCTTAACAATATTTGCTTTTGCATTGCATTATGGAATTTGCATTGCATTGGTTTACCTTGCATTAGCGTAGTTCCCTGATTTCTATACAGGGTGAGTCTTAAATAAGTGCAAATATTTTCAGGGCTGGTAAATCTCGATAAAAGAAACATAATATTTTCTCTTTGTATGTGCTGCTCAGGAGTTTCTTCAGTCCATTTTTGATTCTTTTGGAATGGCCATGCATGTAGGCTCACCTACCAGAATATCCAATACCAGTTCTAGTACTATAGACTATGTTGTGTCATCTTTTGATCCTAACTCCATCGCCTGCAACGTCTTTAGCTCGGGTCTCTCTGATCATGAAGCAGTTTTAACTGAATTTTCGATAAAGTCCAAAATCAAAAATGCCCCTCGTAAATTATGCCGTATTTTTTCAGAAAAGAATGCTCAAAAGTTCAGCCACTTATGTAAAACAACCAACTGGGATACTAGCTCTTATGATGTCGACACCGAATTTTCTATTTTCGTAAAAACATTAACCAGTCTAGCGTTCAAATCCTTTCCTCTTAGGCCTATAAAAAATAAGCATAATAAACCTTGGACCACTAAAGGTCTACGCATATCTTCTAAAAACATGCGTTCATTATCTCACTTAAAAAATTCTCAGACAGTCTCTTCTTCCACAATTACGTAAAACTATACAGAAAAATTTATCATAAGACTATAAGAGCCGCTAAGGACCTTTATTATAATAGGAGAATAGTCAATTCTGGTAATGTTGCTAAGGAAACATGGTCTATTGTGAATGAGTTAAGAAACAAAGCTTCTTCGTCTAGCAATATCTCTACCTCGCCTGAGAACCTTAACGATTACTTTGTAAATGTAGCGAAAAACTTAACTAATACCATATGTCCTCCTCATGATCCACTTTCTTATCTCTCTAATGATAATGTAAACTTACACAGTTTCTTTTTTTCGCCCGTAGTTCTTGAAGAGCTTCGCAGTACAATTAATACCATCAAAAATAAATCCTCTTCTGGAACCGGCGGGCTAACTTTAAAAATGTTTTCGAATCTGCCAGAAAGCACTCTGAATCGCCTAACAACTTTAATAAACATGTCGTTCCAAAATGGTATTTTTCCAAAATGTCTTAAGACGGCAATAATCATTCCACTGCACAAAGGAGGAGACAAAGATGAAGCTTCTAACTATCGCCCAATTGCACTCCTTCCAACGCTATCTAAGATCATAGAAAGGTTGGTTAAAAGCAGGCTGGTATCTTTTCTGTTTAAGTACAAAATACTTACTGAATATCAATTTGGATTTCTAAGCAACAAGTCCACAAATGACGCTATGTTTTCCCTCCTTAATAAAGTTTTACTCCAGCCTAAACAACCATCATTCTACAGCAACAATTTTCTGTGATTTTTCTAAGGCGTTCGATTGTGTAAATCATAAGATCCTAATTAATAAACTGCAGCACTATGGGTTCAGGGGATCATCTCTCGAATGGTTTAAGTCGTATCTGAGCAACAGAAGTCAACTTGTGAGGGTGGATACCACGTTGTCTTCCAGCAAGCCAATAGAATGTGGAGTACCACAAGGTTCAGTACTAGGCCCTATTTTGTTTCTTCTTTTTATTAACGACATTGCTAACATAAACATCAGTGGCAAAATATGTCTTTTTGCGGACGACACTAGCTTCACTTGGAGCAACAAGGACATCGCGGCACTTCATAGGATTATATCAAATGACTTAATCACCATTAAATCTTGGTGCGATTCGAACCTCCTGAGTCTCAGCATTTCTTAAACTAAGGCTTTGTCGTATAAAAACTCGTTGCAGCCTTTTGTACTTGACAGCACCACCATTGACGTCGTAAAATCCGTAAAATTCTTAGGGCTTGTTGTGGACAATTCTCTGAAATGGGACATACATATCGAAGCTTTGTCGAAAAAATTGAGCTCTGCCTGTTTTGCATTAAGGTCTGTTTCTAAGGAGCTTAACTTGTCAGTGGCTAGAACTGTTTATTATGCACTTTTTGAGTCGCACCTCAGGTATGCCCTTCCATTCTGGGGTACGTGTTGTGCGGTTCAATTTGACCGCATTTTCAAGCTCCAGAAGAGAGCTGTTCGATATTCACTGGGACTAAACAGCAGAACTCATTGCCGGGGCTTTTTAGAGAATTAAAAAATATTGACTCTTCCTTCCTTATTTATATTTGAATCCGTTTGCCTAATACGTAAACATGTATCAGCTTCTCAAGAAAGCCCATCTCACACTTATCCACTCAGGAACGCGGAGCAAGATCTTTATCTACCTACCCCACGCTCAGAGTTAGTTAAAAGTTCAATATTATACAACTCGAAAAAAATGCACAATCACCTGCCATTTGAAATCAAATCCATAACATCATTTTTTTCATTTCGCAAAGCATTGAACTCTTATTTACTAGACAAGGCTTTCTACGCCGTAAATGAATTATATTTGAATTGAAAATCGAATTTGATCTTGAAAACACTGGTCTAATGTTTGCTATTGCTATATTTACTAATGACATCGAAATTAATTTATTTAGAGGTCATTGATATTTTGCTATAAACTGGCTAAATATTTTTGAATATTATTTTAATTTTTTTTCTTTTGACATTGTAAACATTTATATATGTTTATTTTAACAATAAGACTGACAATATTATTTGTATAATGTTTTGTATTATCTTTTGTTTGTTTGTTTGTGTACCTTGTTTTTTTTTTACTTTGTTTGTTAGTTTACCTTTGTCCACAAATTGAAAAATTTTTTGACAATAAAGGCATTTATTTAATTTACTTTACCGTTTTTTAAATAAATCTAAAACAACCGAGTTATTTCACTTTTAAAATTTCCAATTTTGCTATAATTTTGAGAATCATTGGATTTTCTTTCTTGTAAATTTAATCTGCTACCTATGTTGCCATATTACAAACAAAGTTTGTTTTTAAACTAAAAATTAAAAAAAATTATTTTTTTTTTTAAAAAATTCCAAATTTTCAAAAAAAATCGCGCAAAAAACCTCATAATCAATAAAAAGGTAAGTGATAAAAGGAAGAGCAACAAGGAGAAGATAAAATTTCAGTAAACGTTTACTTGTCTCTGCTTCAAACCTGATCCAGCGACGTACTTGCCAAGCTGAGTGCTGCAGATGGATATCACTTCCAGAGAGACGTACTGGAAAAAGTCTGCCAGAAAAAGCAAGCCGGAAAAATTCCTGGTAGAAAAAATCCTGGTGGAAAAATCCTGGTGGAAAAATCCTGGTTTTAAACGCCCTTGTTGGGTTTCACAAAAAAATGTAGTTTTTTCCCAAATAGATGGATGTCCAAATTGGTGGATTCAGAAAGCAGAAATTACTGGAACAGGTGGTGGTTTTACGTTGCTCTTCCCAAGAAAATCGACGATGATAAAGAAATAAAATAAAAGGCTTTCCCAGCCACGAGCAGACTAAAATCCCGTATAAAACGGCTCAGAGATTCTAGTCAGTGATTATCCCCAACAAACGGGTAAAACAGGAAAATTCCAAAAAAATTACACTGACCAAAACACCTGCTTTGAACCTGAAGGGAAAAATCGGAAATGTTCGTTTATCAGATAGAATTCCGGTCCGAAGAAATTAGATTTATACTGCAAAGTTGCAATTTAATAATCTGGGAATTTAGAAACATTGCCAAAATAAACATTACTTAGAATTAAAAGTAAATTCCAATAACCATTCAAACGGAAGTAAGAAAGATAATGAAATATAGCTGTAATGAATATTTGTTTATAAAAATTAAATGTAATAAATTTATTTGTTAGCATAAATAAGAGTTTGATCTAACTTATAAGCAAAATTGGTATATATTTTTAAACCTAGTTAAAGCTAAATTTGGACTGTTACATCTTTTTGTGTTATTTGTTCAGAGATGACTTCTTTTACGTAGATGTTGACTAGGTCGCAATTTTCGGATGATTGATTGGATATTATTTGAAGAGTACATTCATCTGGTGGGAATATTGTTTATGGGTATCCCTACATTTTCCTGGAATCTTTTTAGGCTAAACTCTAAACTTTTTTGGTTATTATACAGAATGTTCCAATATTCCGTGGACATAGAACTAC